AAGCTGGATGCAGTGTTCCAAGTGTGGCCTTATCAAGGCATTATAAAGTGGTATTAATACTTACGTGATCTTGATTCTATCCCTCTGTTAATGCAACATCTATATACTTGCAAAGGAGGCAATCGACAAACCAAAAAGTGAACAAAAAACTCAAAACACCTCCCTACCAGCAGTCAACACCCAGATTAACACCAAAATTAACATCAGACCAACAGTCAAGAAATAAACAATGCCCCAATCAAGGAACTGGTGAACACGCTCATAGTAAGCAGCCCAACCAAAGAACCCCCAAAGTCACCTTCACCAGCACCGACAGGACAAGCCACTAGAATGAACCTGAGAGCAAACCCCACTCCTTACTACACTGATGATGTTACCCAGTTTGTGTAATAAAACATCTGCAAGAAAACAACCAAGCTCAGAGAACACCAAGGAGGGCATCTTGAAGAGGGTCTTTCCATTGATCTGCATGTGGGTCAGGTTTCAGATGAGGTGGGTAATTGGGCCTTAAGCTGTCAGTTGAGCTGAAAACTAACAACTCAAATTGGGCCTGGAATGCAACTAGCAAACATTTCAGGTCTTTCCATGCCGGAAGTAAGGCTCAATTATTCAGGGTGATGAAAATAAAAAAAATAATAATAAAAAAGACTGCGAAGAGCTCCAGAAGTAGTTGTTAAGGAGAATATTCGTAGCTCAGAGTTGAAATGAGGGACCCTTGATACTCTCTGATCTTGGCTGTTTTCCTGCAGACGTTTCATTGCCCAAACTATGCAACATCAGTTTACGTCAGCATAAAAGTTGTGTGTGTTGGGGCAGTCCCCTAACCTCACTCAGATGCTAATTAGGTAGAGTGTAAGGGACCACAAAGAAAACCATGGAGTCTTAAGTGGAGGGCTTGGTGAAGATGGGACTTAGTGGGCAACGGCCGTGGGAAAGAGAAATTCCCTGACAGGGATCATCAACAAGGAAAGGGACCGAAAATGCCAACAACGTAATGCCTCTGGTAGATGTTCATGGTGTCTTTGCGTTAGGCATGCTGTGCACAGCTTTGATCACCATGTTTGTAAAACTCTGTGTGTGTGTGTGTGTGTGTGTGTATACATATGTATATGTATGTATATATGTGTATACCTCTGTGTGTGTGTGTATATCCTCCTCCTCCTCCAAGAGCTGGGAAATGACAGAACGGGGAATCCAAAGTGCCTGATCCAAACTCTTCTCCCCAAGAAGGAATGAGAAAGTTTGAGTCCCCCTCACTTGGGAGAAAGGCCGAAGAGCGTGGTTTGGAGAAAGTGGGCAGGGAGGAGATTTTGGACAGAGACAGGAAGAGACCTGGCCATTCAAATGAAGGGTCTTCTCCATGCCACATAGGATTAACCTGGAGACCTCCTGTCCACGGCTCACCTCAGCAGCATTAACCGCAGAATCTCTAATGGGAAGACATCTCTGAGACGGGAAACGGTGCAAGGCTGTAGAAGCCGCTTCCCAGGACAGAGGAAAAGTCAAGGATTCTCCTGGTGTTGAAAAGCTGATTGGGCCAGCCTGGTTTCTACAAGTCTAAAACTTTTTTGGGGGTGTGTGTGTGCATGCTTTAATGCACCACAAAAAAAGAAGAGAAGGACTTTCCCATCCTTTTGGGACTCCTCAGAAAAGGTATTGCATTGTATATAAATATAGCTATACCTTTACTGAAATGTAAAAAAAAACCAAAAACAAACAACCCCACCCAACAATGGAAACCTTGAATGCATTTGAGTTAATATAAAAGGAAAAAGAAATGGCATTGCCATACATGTAAACCACAGTCCTCTCAACCAAACGGAGGAAATACGTTTTGCTAATCAGTTAAGTAAGGTGTCCAGGAAGCAGCCTGGAACAGTAATGGGGGACTTTAACTATCCTGACATCAACTGGGAGACAAACTCTACACCTGGCGGGAGATCAAACAGACTCCTGACAAACCCAGCAGTCCCCCCAAAAAAGAGAAGGGAACTAGAAGGTCAGCTACACTGAGCTTAATTCTTACTGACAAGAGATAAAATAATAGAAGGGATTGAAATGGTGGGAAGTCTGGGGGAGAATGAGGGTGTCATATTGGAATTCAACAGAACAAAATCAAACGAATATCTTAGACTTAGACTTTAAGAGAGCTGATTTCAACAGAGCTTGCTGCTCAGTCTTCTCAGAAGTCGATGGCACTAACAGACCCAGGCAGGAGGATCATACCAGTCCTAGCAGTGCAGGCTGGGGCTTAATCACTGGGTGGCTCAGTGGCTAGGAGGTTGACTCACAGGTAGATCCCAGAGTGCGATGCTTAACGGGCCACTGTCTGAACAGAGATCAGTCACAGGCGATGTACCAGAAGGCTCAGCCCCGGGTCCTGTTCTGGTCAATGTGTTTGTGAGTGATAGAAGGATTGCTAGGTAAGGTTTGTCTTTTTGCTGGTGACACCAAGGTGTGTAATAGAGTTGATGCCCCTGGGGGTATTCATAACATGGAAAACAATTTGGCATTGGAGGAAAATTGGTCAAAAATGTAGAATACAGCTCAAGGTTTCTAAATATAAGATCATGCGCTTGGGGGAGCGAGGAAGAATCCTCTGGCAGGGGTCAGTATTGGGGGTACAACAGAAGGAGAAGATGTAGGAGACAACTGCAAAATGGGGAAACAGTGTGGCCAGGCAGCTGTGAAGGCCAACCAAATTCTGGGATGCATCACTAGAGGGGATCCCCAGCAGGAAGGAGGAGGTCCTAATCCCACCGTGTAGAGCTTTAGTCAGGTCCCATTTGCAATACCGTGTCCAGTTCTGGAAACCCCACTTTAAAAAAAGATATTGATAAGACTGAACGAGTCCGGAGACAGGCCGAGGGACAAAACATACCATGAGAGATGGGAAGAACTGAATCTGTGCAGCCTGGAGGACAGAAGAGAAAGAGAAGTGATTGAAACCATTAAATCTATTAAGGGTGTGAATTAGGGTCTAGAAGACAGTATTTTCAATATTAAGCAAAAATCAAGAACATGGGGAAGTAATCTCAAACTGATGGGAGGGAAGTTCAGAAGTAATGCTGGAAACTGACTTCACAGAAAGTGTAGTGGATGCCTGGAACCAACTTCCAGCAGAGGGTTGTGGGTCAAAAACAAACTCAGAGGGCAGACAAATGGTCCACTAGGTGGTGGTGGTGGTGGTGGTGGTGGTGGTCTTCTTCTTCTTCTTCTTCTTCTTCTTCTTCTTCTTCTTCTTCTTCTTCTTCTTCTTCTTCTTCTTCTTCTTCTTCTTCTTCTTCTTCTTCTTCTTCTTCTTCTTCTTCTTCTTCTTCTTCTTCGCCTTCGCCTTCGCCTTCGCCTTCGCCTTCGCCTTCCTTCCTTCCTTCCTTCCTTCCCTCCTTCCTTCCTTCTTCCTGATGTTTCTCTCTGCCAGGCTCCCTGGTCTGCTGGTATAGGTGCAGGAGGAGGCACACCCGCTTTGTCTGCACCACGGAGACATTCCTGTGTGTAACTCCCCTGCAGCCTTTGGCAACTACCCCACACCACACTGCAGTGCAACAGCTGTGATAATATGGGAGGCTACCAAGCCAAGCGCAGCAAGGCGTTCCCATTTCCCAGCAGCTGTACGGGCAGCTTGCTTGTGCTCAGAGGCTGTGGTTTTCCCAAAGCGGTCCAGGCAACATGGGAGCTGGCCCCGAGCAGCAGCTTGGTTTTTCTTTCTGCACAGACTTCCTAACAAGCACACAATACACTTGGCCTAGTCACCCTTTGCGCAGGGTTTACACAGTGGATCAAATCCCATGCTAATTAAGCAGGTAGGATTTGTAGAAGATGTTGAGAGTCACCTGCAGTCAAAATAAACTCTAATCATGGTTAAACTTAACAAAGCTGCCTGAATGTGGCACCATAATCCACCTTGTGGTCTCAGCCCGTCTCCTCTTCCACCTCAGTCCTGAGGGATTTCTGAATTCACCACCCAGGAATAGCATTGAGGGGACCTAGTTGGGAGGGGGGGAGGCCCCCGGAGATGTTGAGTGCCCACAATCCTGCTACTGTTCAGGAGAGAGTCCTGGGTTCCGCTTCCCCTCAAAGGGGCTCCTTTGCCAGGCCGTGCCATGGGAAATGGAGGCGGTGTGTGAGGGTCAGAAGGGCCCTTGGAAGCTCCAGGCCTCCCACTCCCCCTTTTCCTGCTTGACAGCTGCTGTTTTCTTTTACCTCAAGATGGTGGTACAGCTGTTTTTGCTTCTGCCCAAGGTTTCTCTGCTGCCTCCCGGTTTTGGGGGGCTTGCCAGAATTGAGAGCTCTCCATGGTGCAAAAAACGGCACAATGCTCTTTAGTCAGTGGCACTTTTCACCTGGCCCAGGGATTTGCCCATCCCCCTTGAGACCTTCTCTGTTGGGAAGGCTGTTCTTCCTCCTGGCAGCACTCCCCCACAAATATACTCCCTCTGTGCAAAACACAGCGTGGTGTTTGAGCTACAGAGGAAGCAAAATGGCCTGGCTTAAACGTTGGGATATCCTTTGAGCTCCACCAGTGCAAACTAGGTGCTGTGGGATGATTTCCCCTCCCATTGGGGGGGGCGAGTTTTTGTCTGAATCTCTGGCACAGAGAGAAGCCCCAGTGACTGGAGAGGAAAGCAGGTGCGAAGGGCACAACTGGCAAAATCCTCTTTGACGGGACCCCTGCTGGAGCTGCTGCTGCACGGCATCACTCCAGCCGCCTGGATCGGCCGCTGGGGGTGCTGGGGGGGGGAGTGTGTGCGGGCCTGCCCAGAAAGCCTTGCCACAGAACCAGAGAGCCCTCCCCCCAACTCGGGCTTCTCTGGCCGGTGGCCCTGGCCTTTCCAGTTGGGGATGCCCCTCCAGAGAGGGACTCCCGGTGATCAGAGTAGAACGAAGGGACGCTGCTTGCCCCAGCCCTTGGGGGTCGCTCTGGGGAGCAAGATGGGCGGCACACGCACTGAATCAACCAACCGGCCTCTTCTTTCCCCCCCACAGAGGCTTCTGCTGCCATGGCTCGCCGGTCACAGAGCTCCTCCCAAGGGGACAACCCTCTGGATCCCAACTACCTGCCGCCCCACTACAAGGAGTACTACCGGCTGGCGCTGGACTTGCTGGCAGAGGAGGGCAAGGAGAGCTACCACCGGTTTCTGGCGGAGGAGGCGGCCCCGGATTTCCTCTGCCCCTCGGAGGTCGAGCACATCACGCAGCACCTGCAGAAGCCGCAATGCACCTCTCAGGAGGGAGGCGGCAGCACGGACTCCAGCCCGCCGGACGCGGACACGGACGGTTCCTCAGGCACTTACTGGCCAATGAACTCTGACCTGGCCGTTCCAGAGCTGGATCTGGGCTGGCCAATGGTCTTTGGGTTCCGGGGAACAGAGGTGACTACTTTGGTACAGCCCCCACCCCCGGATAACCCCAGCATCAAGGAGGAGGCACGCCGAATGATTCGGGCTGCACAGCAGGTGGGAGAGCGAGAGGCAGAACTGTGAGGTTGTGGTTGTGGAAGACAGGGGAGACAGTGGGGGGTGGGGGTGGTCAGAGGTTCTAGGAGAGAAGCAGAGAAGTGGGTGAGACAGTTGGCTTTCCACTCCAGATAATGATTTTTTTTTCTTTCAGTGGTCTTTGGGCCGTTTTTAGTTCTTGATCTCCCCTCAGAATTTTGTGTATGAGTTGTGTTTCTATTCTGACCTGTTTTCTCCTGCTTTCGGAGAGCCATGGAGCTGGAAGTGAGCATTTCAGTTCAGCCCACTTCTCCACGCAGGAGTCCAGCAAAGGGGGGTGGTTCCTCCCACGCCCCCCCAAGCAACTGACACCAGGGTTAACTTCCTGTTTCCATTGGGACCTTACAATTTACCAGATCCCTCTTTCAAAAGCGGTGTTATTCTGATCACTTTCCAACCCTCTGATGCAAGAACTAACTGTAGGGACTTGGCCGTCTCTCTCTCTCTCTCTCTCTCTCTCGGTTGATGGTGCAGTTTTCCCCTTGAATTCATGGACGGATGTAGAGTTAGAAGGGGCTATTTATCTCATTGGATCCCACCCTGCTCAGTGAAGAAACCTAAACGCCGCCCGAGGTCAGTTTGAGGAGTCTCTGTGAGGGAGGGCCCACCACCAGCTTTATAGTCAAACCGCTCTGCCCTTGAGGGCCGTTTTCCTAATGTTCTCCCAGAATTGCTTGTCTCCACTCCACTTAGGAAGTTAGGAATCCAGGTCACTTGCCTTCTCATTCATCTCCGGGCAAGGCTCCGTCTCTCTGCAGACTGGCACCTTTGACCATAGAGGAAAATCATACAATTGTAGGGCTGGAAGGGACCTTGGAGGTCTTCTGGTCCAACCCCCTGCCTAGGGCAAGAGTCCTTATACCATCCCGAACAAATGGCTGTCCAACCATGTTTGGCCACCCTTTCCCACTGCACCATCTTTGCGGCGTGGCTGGTCCCTCCCCTTTCCTCTCCCACCTGCTCCGCCAGGGCTGCTAAAGGAGACCGGCCACACTTGCTCTCGGCCTCCCTGACCCTTTCCTGCACCCCCCTGTCTGCGGGACGACATACACCGAGCCGCAAGCTAGTCCCGCTGGTCGGGTCGGCTGTGCAGAAGAGAGCTGAAGCCTAGAAAACTGAGTCAAATAAGCTATGATTCAATTGAATGGTGGGGGAACCCAGGGGCCATTTTTATGCGGCCCCTCTTCACTTCCACTTCTGGGTTTGGACTGCGCTCAGATGAGCCCCCTGCACCCCTCCCCATCCAGGAAAGTTCATTCAGGTTATTTTATTATGAATCACTCCATTGGGACGCAGCCTGACCCACCCAGGCTCCTAAGTCTCCACATTGGGAGGGATTTCCTGGAAGTGAGGGCTGAGAAAAGAGGCAACTCATTTAGAGCCTCCCCCGCCCCTTCAGTGGAGGTCTCCTAACAGCAGGTGGAGGTTCATCCGTCCAAAATGGTTTTGCAGATCCTATACTCAACCTGGGAAGGACTGGAGGATCCTTTCAACTGTGATTTTATGAATCCTCTTGAACTCTTCATCCCACTCAATTTTCTTTCTTTGAAAATAATTCCTCTGAATTTCCTAAAAATTAGTCTTTTTGCAACCTTTTGCCAGAAAATAAATTTCTGTTTCTTTTAATACCTATTTATGGATCACTATTCAACTTGTTAAAAAGGATTGAATCTGATTACTATATAATCAGATTTGTGCAATTTCTCCTGAAAACACTCTGAGTCAGTGACTGTCACCATCTCATGTGAATCTCAGAAATTTGTTTACTGATTATGTGTGTAATGCGCAAAATTGTTTCATTGTTGCACATGCTTAGCATGTTAGAAATACAGGGTGACTTGCCACTGTGCTATTAGTAATGCCCTTAATGCGCAAAATTTTACTAGGGCACGGGTGTTAGGCCACTGTGCTGAATGAACATTCGGGGAGGGGACTGTTAAAACAGGCTCACATACATTTTTTTTTTTTAAGTAAAAGGTAAAGGTAAGCATTTCTCCTGTCCAGTCATGTTGGACTCTAGGGGGCGATACTCATCACCGTTTCCTAACTGAGGGAACCAGCATTGTCCTAAGATGCTTCCGCGGTCATGTGTCCAGCATGACTATATGCTAAAGGCGCAGGAAATGCTGTGACCTTCCCACCAAAGTGGTATCTATTTACTTACTCGCATTTGCATGTTTTCAGACTGCTTGCTGGGCAGGAGCTGGAGCCAGTAACGGGAGCTCACCCAGTCGTGCAGTGCTCGGGTCTCGAACCTGGACTGTTAGCTTTCCATTTGACAAGCTCCACAACTTTAGCCACTGAACTATTGAGCTCCTTTTTTAAAAAGAAAAAATAGAAATTAAAAATATACAGATTTAAAAATATACAAATTTACAAAATGCATGTCACAAAAACAATGAAGACATAGTATGGTGATCCCTATATTATAAAGAATTAAAACATAATAAATGAATAATTTAATAATAAAAGCATAATTTTAGTAACCCATCTAAACATAAAAAAGGCAAAGGCTTCCCCTATCCAGTCATGTCTGACCCTTAAGGGGCGGTGTTCAACTCCCTCCTTTGGCCAAGGGAGCCAGGGTTGTCCGAAGACAATTTCTGTGGTCACGTGCCCGGCACGGCTACACGCCAAAGGCGCCCAGAACACGGTGACCTTCCCACCGAAGTGGTACCTATTTACTCGCATTTGCATGCTTTCAAACGGCTAGATGGGCAGGTGGAAATCTAAAATCTAAACATAAATCTAAACATAAGAAAAGGCAAATAAGGAAAAGCACCCCAAAGTCTAATCTTGTCTGGTGTCATCATAAATGTCCCTATTTTATGTATTCTAAATACTGAAGCATATGACACAAAAGTCGTATTTCCTGTTCCAAGGAAATGTGTTATGCTCTTTGAAGATTTTCAGGATAGGAGTAGGGTTCCCAAATGTTTAAAAGATTCCTTATAATTTCAAGAATGTGGGGGGGGGAAATAAAAATACAGGAAAGTTTCAGGTCTAGATAAAACAGAAGAGAATGGAAGTTGCGGCCAGTCTGAACACCCTGCGTGTGAATGACGCTGCCTGCCCGGCCCTTTTGGGGAGCGACCCCAGAAAAGCTCTTTAAGAACTAAGAAGCGGTTCCCCTTCCCACCTCCCTCCCCAGACACAGGCACATGGAGCCAGCATCTTTGGGGGTTTTATTGGCCGTTGCTGACTGCATGTAAAGCATAAAAAAAAATAAAAATCCAATTCTGTACTCATCCATTGCAAAACCAAATCATTTAATAATTGTTTTGATTTTCTGTGCCCTTAACAGTTTCATCTTATTTAGACTTCCTTAAGTAATTTAAAAAAAAATGTCTACAAGATCAGTGGTTATCGATCAGTCATAAATTGACTTCCAATTCTTAGCTAGTGCTTCAGAAACATTTTGAGAATAAAAATCAAACAGTGATTTATACAGGCAGTCTTCAACCTTCGACCACAATTGGACCCAAAATTTCTGTAACTAAGTGAGATAGTTTTAAAGTGAATCCCTGTAGTTGTTAAGTTAGAATCACGGCCGTTAAGTGAATCCAGCTTCCCCCATTGACTTTGCTTGTCAGAAGGTCGCAAAAGGGCATCACGTGACACCCCCCCCCCAGGGCACTGTGTCATAAATATGAGTCAGTTGTCCAGCATCTGAATTTTGATCAGTGATCCTGGGGACGCTGCAATAGTCATAAGTGTGAAAAAAGTCATAAATCACTTTTTTCAGTGCTGTTGTAACTTCAAACGGTCGCTAAATGAACTGTTGTAAATTGAGGATTACCTGTAATATGATATTATGTATAAAAACTACACTTATTATCTCCACAGAGCACAATGTTTAGAACGTTTACAAAATTTACATTTACAATTACAAAAATGTTGAATTCTTTCGTAAGGGTTGGGCAAAGCTAAACGTCTTAAACATTTTCTTCACATTTTCTCCTTGTGACTTTTGCTTAAGGTTTAATCTAACTTCCCATATCCAGAACCTGGACAATAGACTGGTCAGTTGCTGTGGTTGCTCTTGGGTGACTTGCCCCAGAACGGCATCGTCACGCCCAGCAAAGCTGCCCTTGCCGTTCGCGGGGCAGTGCAACACAGCCTGCCTCGGCTCTGCCCCTCCGAACCAGCCGGACGGAGGTTCCCGGGGACTCCTGGAAGGGAGGACGGGCCTCCTCGGGTGCTGTGGGTTGACCAGCCAGCCGGCCGAGGCTCAGGGTGTCTGGCCTGGGGAAAGGGAGCTCGTGCTGGTGCAGGGCAAAGGCTGCCGCCGCCTTCCTCTTGTCAAAAGCGGGCTAACTCAGGCAAGAGCGGAGGAAGTCTGGATGACCGAGTGTCACACAACGGAAGGCCAAGCCGGGAGACAGCTGGCCTCTCTGTCCAGGGTCCTAATCTGGGCTTTTTCCTACTCCCTCAGGTGGTTGCTATAGTAATGGATATTTTCACCGATGTGGACCTCTTGAGCGAGGTACTGGACGCGGCTGCACGCAGAGTTCCCGTCTACATCCTCCTGGACGAGATGCATGCCCCGCTCTTCCTGGACATGGCTGCCAAATGCAGAGTGAACCTCAACTTTGTGGAAGTGAGCACGGAAATGGGTCTGGAGGGATTTGGGGAGGGCAGGACAGATGCCAGCTGAGGGGGCAGCCCTCAGTCAGCGGGCACGAGTGAGTAGGGCCCCGCTGGAGGCAGAGCTGCAGAGCCAAAGGAGCAGCTCCTTTGATGGGGCCGAGGGAGCCTCGTTGATTTTTGCCTGACACGGCACAGGGCCTCCTGCTGGAGCAGAAGGCTGGATGGGAAGACCTCCGAGGCCTCTTCCGACTCCTCTGTTGTTCTGCTAATTTCTTCCTTTTGCCCAATGACTGACTGCAGTAGCCGGTGAGCCTCGACTCTCACAGCGGGCGATGTTGTACAATGCAGGACGGCCACAGGTCAGCCAATGAAGTGTTAATCTAGCATACTATCGGCACTAATATAGCTCTATGTAATGTTTGGTTCACTGTGTTGTGTGAACCCAGAACATCAGATCGATTAAATCACGATTTGATAAAAGTAGGAAAGTGTGTTTTGAGAACACAGGGCAACATCTTGTCTCATTCCGATGGACATTGTGATACTGAGCACATACTGGAAAAGTCTTTTGCAGTTGGCAGTCTGTGTGCCAGTTTCAGGACTAAGTTTCTCATAGGGAGAAGAAGTTTACCAAACATAAGGAAGAGTTAGGAACTTTTTCACATAAAGTGAAACAACATCACAAACTTCTACTAGCCGTCTTTGGTTTCCAGCTGAAAGGATCCAACCTGAGGGGCTCTCGGGAACAGGCAGGAGTCTCTGTTCACCCTCCAGCCCCAGCCCGACTCAGCTGACGCTGTTCTGGTCCAAGAGGAAAAACCACTTGAGCCTCTTGGGCAGGATGGAGGCTCAAAAGGCCAAGAGGGGAAATGCGGAGTGGGGGGTGGGGGGGTGGGGGGGGCTTGATGTCAAACGGAGGAGCTCACCAGGCCTCGGCACCTGCTGATTAGCCTCTTGGTTCCTTTGCAGTTCCTACGTGTGCGGACAGTTTCTGGCCCCACCTACTACTGCCGCACGGGGATGTCCTTCAAGGGCCATGTGAAGGAGAAGTTCTTGCTGGTGGACTGCATGGTGGTGCTGAGTGGCAGCTACAGGTGAGCAGGGAGGGGGCGGGTGGGCGGGTGGGTGGCCTGCACACCAGCGAATCGTGGGCATCCTAATGAGAACCTATAGGATAGAAGAACACCTCCCCCCCCCAGTTTCTCAAAAGAGATGCTGATAAAATAAGTCTTGACCATGGAACGTGGGTCCCACGAGGTCATCAGATTAAAAAAGTGGCTGACCGTCCAACTGACAATCGACCCCAGAGGTCCCATGGGCAATGGAAATGAAGAGATCTCTGCCTGGAGGTGTTCAGGGCGTGGCAGGGGGAGAAGTGTGGTGGGGGGGGGAAGCTGCAGCTCATATCAAAGACTCATTTTCCTCCTGCTCCCTTTGCAGCTTCATGTGGTCGTTTGAGAAGATCCACCGGAGCATCGCTCATATCTTCCAGGGTGAGCTGGTGGCCAGCTTTGACGAGGAATTCCGCATTCTTTTCGCCCAGTCGGACCCGCTGGTTCCTCCGTCCAACGTTTTAGTGAGGACAGAAACTCCGGTGGGGCCCTACAGCATGGCCCCCTTTGGCAACAACATGCCCTTCTTTCCAAAGAAGCCGCACCTGCTTTTCCCCCGAGAGGACAACCTTTTCTCGCCTTTCACGGACCGGATTGACCCGGACAGGTATTTCCTGTCTTCTTTGAGAAGAGACGACATGCTGCGTCACACCTTAGAGGGTTCGGCCATGAGAATGTACTCCAAAAAAATGGAAATGGAGAATTGCCAGGTGGACCCTGTTCGGGGCTACCTCCGTTCCAAGCAGCTGGAGATGGACTCATTTAAAAGGCACAGCTTCGCGGAAGGCACCTTTGAGAACTTTCAGTCCACAAAGCAGTTTTCTAAGCAGTTGTTCATGAACAATTTGGATGACTTTAAAATTCAGTCCAGTCATTTTCAAAAAGATCAGTTTTATCAGTATCAGTTTGAACATCCCCACGGGGCTCACAGGCCCCAGGGGCTTTTTGAAAGAATTCGAGGAAGCAGACTGGGATTCAATGAACCAGAAGATTATGCAGATGGATTTAGGTGTCCAGAACTGGAATCCAATTTCCCACAGGATGGGTACCCACTGCGGCTGGATTATGTGCCTTCCAATTCTTCTAAAGAAGTGCGACACGGCTCTGACCACCTGAATCCAGGAGGAAACGGTCTCCTCGGTCTTCCCTCGCTCAGAAGGCAGAACATGGGGCAGAAGTTTATGTGCCAGACGTCTCCCACGCAGAAGCAGAGCATGGAGCAGAGGCTTTTCCTGCACGACCAGGGCCAGGAGGCAGAGCAAGACAAGAAGGTTCAGGAGAACAGGGCAGGGTTGCGCAACTGGAGAATTTCCTCCTACCTCAGCGGGTATCAGTCTGACCCGGGAGAGGAAGGCCTTCCGATGATGCCGGTCGAGTCGGAGATGCATAACGAGGTACTTAGCTCTCCAGAACCCTTTAGCAAGTATCCCAGCGACCTCCTCCCCACTTTCAAACCTCCGCTTCCACTTCCAAATGCCAAAGACATTTCCAGAACGGAGAGATTGCCAGAAGAAACCTCGGTGGTGAAACAGGATCCCTTCAGGAGCAGAATAAATCCCTTGATCCAGAGGAGTTCGCGACTGAGATCTTCCCTTATTTTTAGTGCTGCCAAATTAGACCAGCCAAACTCATCCGCTGAGAAAGTCCAAATGGTACAAAAAGAGGAGACCTCCACCGAGGCAGTCAAGGGCACTGAAACCCTAAAAGCCACCACTGTCTCTAAAGTGGCCGAGCTGCTGGAAAAGTACAAGTCGGTGGGCAAAGACTCGCAAAGCCCCACCCTCAGTCACACCAAGGCTATGTCTGCCTTTCTCCAGGAAGAATCCCAGAATGCAGAAAAAAAGTACACCAAGTCGGTGCAGTACAAGATTCTGGAGAGCCGGGTGCGGGAGGACTCCAAAGACTCCTTCAGCCCCTACAAGCTGCACCCGGAGTCGGAGGAGCAATTTAGGGGGTTTGCCTCGGCCACCGACATGCTTAGTAAGGACCCCCTGGCCCACGGGAGCAATAAAACAGATAAGCTTGCTTCTCGATTCTACCCAGTAGACCAATCCAGCCTTCCAGGGAAGGAGAGCCTAATATTTGTGGGAGAAACTCAGAAACCTGCCATACCAGAGAGGGAGGAAAACTTGTCTTTCAAAGGAGGAGACGGGTCTGAAGCTGAAGGCCAGAAGCCAGCACAAGCCCCAGTCAGCACCATCTCCTCCAAGAACCAGGGCTCTGACAGCTCTCTCAGTAAGCCCGACGAAGAAATTTGCAAGCAGGAACAGAGTCCAAGAGAGTTTTTTAGGAAAGGATCTCTCAAGCTAAAGCAGTTGCTAAATCCCAAAGCTGAGAAAAAAACAGACGAAGAAACAGGCCCGGAGAGCTGGAAGCCAGATAAACTGAGCGCAGGAGCCCTCAAGCGAATGTCCCGGAGTGATTCTCAGGAGATTATAGAGGAGGAGAAATCGCCCAAACTGGCCGCACCAGTGCCTGTCTACAAGGCGAACCCAGCGCCTCAGCCGCGACTGCCCTCCGCCACGGCCAACGTCCTGTACAGCAGCAACCTCCGGGACGACACAAAGGTCATTCTGGAGCAAATTTCGGCCAACAGCCAGAAGAACCGGGCAGAGTTGGCCAGGCAGCTCCCAGCGGCCAGCAATCCTGAGCTGTCCAGGTCCGCCACAAGTTTAGACCGCAGAGGGGAAGAGAGGCACGCGGGGGTCAGCAGGTCAGAGAGCTTTGGGAGCCATAAGCGGGGCCTGCAGAGGGAGCCTTCCGAGGACCGGGATTCTCTTCTGAAGCGGATGGAGAGCATGAGGAAGGAGAAGCGAGTCTACAGCCGCTTCGAGGTTTTCTGCAAGAAGGAGGAACAAAGCGAGGAGGAATGTGAGACAGACGCCAAAGACAAGAAGATGGGGAAGTTCATGCCAAAACTCCTGGGGTCCTTCAAAACCAAAAAATGACTTTGAGGCAGCTGCCTGGGACGCCCCTGCCTGGGACCAAGGTTCGTGGCAGGTCTTCCTCTGCAGACCTTCCATTTCCAAGCCCTTTCTAGCAGCAGGACAGCTGGGCTGGGGCTGGGGGAGAGAGGAAAGGGGGGCCACCAAGCAGGATTAAATGACCATTGGGGGAATTAAGAGGCTAGCATCCCACTAGAGGTTAACTTTTTTTGGAAGGGATGGAGATTAGTCCCACGCTTAGGAACTTCCTCCAGGTATGGGAGAAAAACGCACCCATGTGAACGAAGAGGGAGCATTTGGCAACACAACTGTTTTTTGTGCAAATTCCAAGAACCCCATTCTTAGTACCCAGCTCAGGGCAACCGTCCTGGGCCACTGCCTCTCATCTTTTGCCTCTGCAGCAGCCCTTACTTGAGGGCCCATCATTTCACGGGACATTTTCTTTGTGGGAACACTCCATCTACGGTAGAGGGAAAGAGGCAGGAAGGAATCCACGAGGGAAGGTGAAGTCCACACAGAAAAGCACAGAGGTCATCTGGTCCATTAGAACAATGCTTCCCAGATCTGGGTAAATTATCCCAAAGTGGGTAAAAGTGTTTTTTTCTTTAGGTAACGGCACACGACCCGATTACCCAATCGCAACGGGGTCATTTAAATTGACTTAAAAGTGGTTTACTTACATTGGGTAAAAAGGACTTTCTGATAGGCAGTTTTGGATAAGCCCTGCAGGAGAACCTCTTTGCTAGATGACCATCTTGCTGGAAGACCTCCAGTAAAAGAGAATTTCCCTCATGGGCCAGCCTGTTGCACTCACTGACGTCCCCCTGAACCGCCCTTGTTCTTTGAGCATGCTGGTTCTGGCCCTGTCCTCCGAGAGCCCTTCAGACATGGGGAGGCTGCCATCGCATCTCCCTGCTGTAGGCTAAGCACGTCCAGCTCTCCCACCATCCCTGCTAGAGCTCTGGCACCCAGGGTGGGTCAGAGGCCTCCAGATGGGGCTTGGCTAGGGCAGAGTAGAGTGGGATGTTCACTTCTTGGGATTTGGACTTTCATGTGGCTGTAAATGCACCCAGGGTAGCATTTGCCTGCTTAGCAGCTGCTCATGTATGGTTGATGAGGACACCCAGATCCCTTTCACACATACTATCGAGTCATGCTTTCCCCATCCTAGACTAGTGCCTTACACATTTCCTAGACTAGTGCCTTACAGTGTTTAAGCTGCTCTAGACCTTTTTGAGTCTTCTCTTCTTTCTGCAAACTTGGTGACTATCCACACGATGATTCCCTCCTCCAAACCCTCTATAAAAAGAGCTCTGTGCCTCCACCCCTCACCCCACTGGAGGGTTAGGACTGGGTGAAACTACTGTAAGATGGACTCGCCATTGGCTGAGTGATTGTACCCAAAAAAGCACTTTCTAATGGAGGCGCTCCAGCTTGGAAGGAAGTCTCAAGTAAAGAGTGTCTAGAAACACTTTTGTTGAGATTCTGGTTCACAATGTCTGTAAGATTCCCCTCATCTACTAAGCCAGGAACTCTTATCTGGGGTTATAGTCTGGGATAATTTCTTTGTGAGACCCCCACACACACACACACACCTCCCGCTGGCTCTTCTTAACTGTTGTATTTCTTTCTCAAGTGCTCACAAATGGTCTGTTTGAAGACAGTGCCCAGAAGAGAGGTCAAGTAGTTTCTCGGGTCCTTCTCCTTCCCTTTTTGAAGGTGGGATTTAATAATAGAGTAAGAGTTGGAAGGGACATTGGAGGTCTTCTAGTCCAACCCCTTGCCCAAACAGGAGAACCTATACCATTCTGGACAAATGGTTATCCAATCTTTTCTTAAAAACCTCCAGTGATGGAGCCCCCACAACTTCCAAAAAACAAGCTATTCCACTGAGTAACTGTTCTCATTGACAGGAAATTTCTCCTTAAAATTTGACCTCCTCCAGTCTTCTGCAACCTCACCAGTCCTCCCGAAGTCGTCAGAGATCACCAAGAGGGTTCTGCAATTGCCCTCAACACCGAAGAACGTAATCCACGTGTGGCTCTGGATACCTCATTCAAAATAACCTAATTTCCTTCTTGTCCTCATCTTTGGGGTCGGGGTGAGGCAACCAGAACCACTTGAGGGGAGGCCCAAGTGGGCATTTTGCTGATCACCTGCTATTACAAGAATTTTGCCAGACTTCCCTTGGGAAACCACAGGTGTTTCCCTCTCCCGAAGAGACTCTAAACCGAACGGTCTCTTTACTCCCCGAGAAAGAGGGATGGACCTCTCCACTCAGCTGACGGTTCCACCGCATTTGTCCCGAGATTCAGCTTCCTCGTAGCCATAGCGCCATTTCTATTCTGGGGAAAGATGCAAAGTAAGATGGTCCCTTTGCACCATCAGCCTTAAGCAATTTCTTCTTACAACAGGCCTACATTCTGTTGGGCTTTATTTTTTGATGCATTTATTGTTCCTCTTTCCATGTTTTGCATGTGTCTCTTTTTCTCTTCAGCAGTTGAAAGAACTTCTGCAACTTTGCTGGCCTCCTCAGATTTTTGTCCCCATTTTTCTTTGGTTGGATTATTTCTGACGGTCCCATACAGAATCCCATTGCTTAGAATTCTTCTCATCCTTCTTGGATCGTTTGCTCCTTCAGGATTTCAAGTGATTGGATCTCACCTATCTTCCCTTGGAATTTGGATAATTCCTTCCAAAAATTTCTCTTTCAGGTCCCCTTCCAGAAATTACAAACTTAGAGGTAACATTATAATTTGGCCTAATGTTTCAGTTACCTCCCCTTCCCTCCTGTGGGGTGAGGGCTAGGGCTGGGACAGCAGGCCTCCAGGGCAGAGTAGAGAGAGGGCATTCATATGGCTAGCTCTTGATTTTCAGTATCCTGCAATTTCTTCTTGCTCCACGATTCTCAGCAAGGGTTGAAGGGAAAAAAAGAAAAAAAAAACCTCTACCTGCGTTCAGAGCTTTTTCCTACTTTGCTCCCACAAGCTCATCCTCTCAGCGAGAACCGGCATGGACAGAGGCGCCGTCCGCAGTCCAAAGGGCTCCAGCTTAGACAGAGCTCCTCAGGGGAGACGGACGGGCTACCGCCCCGATTCAAGAAGGCTGTTTTGCAGGTAGAAGACGAGGGGTCACTTCCAGCCCATCTCACTGCTTCCACTGGAGAGATGGAGGATGACCAGCGATCCACGGCATGCCTGAAACCAGGCCACGCAAACAGGCAAAGCCCCATCCACAGGATGCAGGCAGCGTACGAAACCATGCCCCCCGCCGTCCGGCCTGCGGAAAACCCTCTCTCCACAGAAGTGGTCCCTGGAGCCCAAAAGATTGGGGGGGGGGTCGCAGCCCTAGGATAGAGAAAGCATCCTGGAGCTTGTGCAGGCAGGCGGCTCTGCTGAGGGCCGAGGAAAGTGTTGCCATGCAGTCCGAGACAGGATGGGAGGACCTGCTTGCACCCAACACAGAGGGAGCTGCAACAGCCCTCCCCACCCTCCTTTGGGGGGCAGGAGAAGAGGGCCCCAGGCTTCCTTCCTGGGTTGTGGGGGGGGGCAGGGGAGCTGCACGGGCTCATTCCCAGGGACCTCTGGTACAGACAAGAGAGCGCTGCCTGCTTTCTCCCCGGGCTAAGGGCTAGGTAAAATGAACAGGGCCCTGTAAAGAAATGTTAAAGGGCATTTCTTTAATTCTGTTGCCTTGCTTGCCCTTGCGAGGCTGGAAGGAATATCAGGTAGGGCTGTCACTCACAATTCATGGGCTTGCTGGCTGTGGCAGAAACAGCGAAGTGCCCACAATTGGGCCTCCTGTGCCCAGTCTTGGCACATGACTAGGAATGTCTGAGAGTCTTCAAAAAGGGATGGGAAAACTCCTGGACATAGTCAAATTAAGCAGTTGTGAATTTGATGCACATCTCTCACAGTATTAGCAAGACCCACAATGGACATTAGGCCATTAAAATCTTAATAGAGTCCTTTATTCATTTTCCCCTTTGTCCATTCCTTTGTGACTTAGCATCTAATGCAAATCCAGTTTTTTAGTTTATGGTTCAATATATTGCTATTAACCATCCTGACCTTCCCAATATCTTAATACCTCCCTTGAGGGAAAGTGACCTAAATTATTGCTGTTTTTTTTCTTTCTCTCTCCCATACACACACACACAAACTCCTCCCAACTGGTCTGGTACATGGGATACTAATGTTTGTTGCTCCACTTCAATACTAGGCAAAGAAGGTGCGACAAATTCACTGAGGATCTCAACCCATTGAGAACTTTAGCCCATCCAGCTGCTGTACTACCTCTATAAGCAAAGCCACTTGCCCCCAGAGCCAGCCACTGGAGGCCAAGCGCTAGATATTCCTGGAAAAGCTGTTCAGCGGTGGAACCCCTTGCCCAGATCTCCTCCCTTCCTGGAGGCCTCCAAATGGGGCTGGTTGGGGCAGAGTTATTTGGAGGGCTTCCTGAGGCATTTCCCCACCACCACCAATGCATTCATTCTGGAGCCCCGTCTTGTGTTGGACTTCCCAAAACCATCGGTTGACTTTCACGGACTGGATGCTGGACCTTTGGTGCAACCTATTTTCAGGGCTCCTTGGGTAGTCTCAGCACTCTAGTGCTGATTAATTGGGATTTTTCAGATAACGTAGACTAAATTACCACTTTATAAGTACTGAGAGAAAGCGAAGGGTGTCGGCCAAGGGGCCGAGACCCAGAGATAGTTACCTGAAGAATTCCCTTGCTCAGGCCATCGTTTCGAGTGTCAGTCTTGTTCCTCTTGATTATGTATCACCCCGATAAAACCTGTCCATTACTTTGAAATCTGCTTTCAATTGGGCAGTTCTTAAATCTCTGAAAAAGGGGCTGCAGAATTGTTCTAAAGAGTATTTGGGGAAAAAAGATAGCTCATTGGGCTTGAAGCAATCAGTTGCCTAGAGGGCTGATAATTCTGCTTAAAGCAGTTATAAGTTCTGTGACTGGAATAAACTATGCAAATGTACATACATTTCTGGCAATTGCTTCTTAATTGTCAAGTATATGAAGTTATTCTTTCGCGTGGGAAGGGTTTCACCTATGTACGTATCAGACTCCGACTGCAGTTTTAGGTCTGAGAAACCAAAGTGGGTGGAGCCAGACAACACAGTGAAAGCCAGGGTGGGGTCTATAAAGTCCATTAAGTTTATTTTTAACCTAAAATCGCAGTTGCCTGTTTCCTACCTCAAAATGCTGCTAAACAAAAAGCCACCACTGCATTTGGATGGGATTCAAGTTGCTACAATTTTGTTCACTGGTTTGCGTGGTTAAGGTTTAAAGGTGAGGCTGCTCCATCAGCACCAGCCAGGGAAGGCTGTGGACGTGTACCACTGAACAAGCTCCAGCCTCAGGTAACTTATGTATATTCCTGGTCAGCTAAGAAAAGTCTACAAGTGTCGCTACGCTGGGCACAGCACACCTTGTGGCTAAGGGCCAGCAGGACCACAGGGCTGGAAGCGGGCTTGGGGTTCCATGATAGAAGCACCCCAGCTCTGCTTTCCAAGCTAGACATGGTACGCTACCTCAGTTTGTTAACAGATGTTGGGTGAGCTAACTTTAAGCCAGTTTAGAATATGTGCCCCAATGGGCATATTCTAAATATACATAATATATACTTAGAATACGTATACATATTCTAAGTATATATTACTGATACCACATTTCAGCACAATGTCTCGATTCCAGCACTAAGTGCCCAGAGATCCTCGCCCATGACCACAAGATTTTCTCCGTGGGGCGGAACCAGGAGGGATCTCCAAGCCTAACCTGGCGCAAGTAGGGAATGTGCCTGTTGTCTTTCCCTTCTAGGGAAGGCCAGTCTGGGTTAGTCTTGGAGAACGTGAGCACAGGAAGTCAATTACTTACCCTCCCCAGACCTCATCCGCACATTCACACGCATACAGCCTCTCCATCTGGGGGCTTGGGGGAATCTAATTTGCCTCTGGAAAGATGGGCCACAAGACCATTCCTGCCTTTGAGGGCAATCAGAGCCGGGGCGGGCCAGCCACCTCAGAGCAGAACGGCACTCGAGCCTCTGGCACGAAGTCTTGGGGGAGGAGGAGGATCTGTGGGCTGGGGAAGTGGCCTCTGGCTCACGTTCTCGTTTAAGAACTGTGGTTACCACCCTTTTCTCTGGTCCCCACTCATGCATCATCCCAGCAAGACACAACTTGTCACAAGTTACTTTTCTCTCCTTCGCATTAGTCACTCCTGCCAGGAAGAATTGGGCTTTTCCCTCTGGACTTCCTAACTCTTCCTAGTCAAGAAGACAAAAATACCCGAGTTTCCTTGGTGTAAGGGGACCTGATGGTCAGTCAAGCTCCCCACATACGTATGAGAAATCACTAAAATACAAAAAATGTTTTACGGTCTGATACTTCTAAGGGATAACCAGTAGATGGTAGGGATGGGTGCACCACCTCCATCCCACTCCCACCAGAGGTCATCCGTGAGAGGAACCAAGGCTGTTTCTGTCCCATACTCAGGCCTGAAACCTGAGGGAAAACGGTCCAGATAATCCATTTCCTCCAGGAACCTGTGGAGTTGCAACGCTGCCACCATCCCTAAAAAGAAAGGTGAGAGGCTGCATGGAAGTTTTCCAGAACCACGGGGTCCAGCAGTGGCTTCTTGAGGAGGGAGCACACCAGGGCCTCTTTAAAAGACAAGAGTGGCTTTTTTGTCCCCCCTTTTGCCTATAGGATCTGAAGGCCTGGTGTTTTAACCTTGGTCCAGAGAAGGCCTGTTCCGCAAAGACCAGGTACTTTAATATTGGCTCATAGAAGAGGCTCAGGTAAAACTATGTTTTAAATTGCTTCATAGAATTCATCATCATCATCATTATCATATTATTATTATTTTATTATTATTTAAACAGATTCAGCAAGGTAATAACTAAGATCAGGTAAGAGGTATTGTGATACTGAGCTTTCATCTATGGGCATAGATCTGGGCAGAAGTTCAGAGACGAACAAAAGGTCACCCTTAGCATACAAAAAAATCAACCCTTAAGTATTTAAGTGAGCAATTTAGAGATCATGCCAAGTACGCTAAGAACATTGTATAGCATATATGCAACTGCACGCACAATCAGTACACCCACGAAGTAGTAGGTAATCCATGAGTGTACAGGTGGTCCTCGAGTTACGAATGTAATGGATCCTGCCAATTATTTGTAACCTGAGGATTTGTAGGAGTGAATCGCGTAATTTGGCCACGATCACTCCCTGCTTTTGCCCGTGCATTCGCTAATCGAATGTGCGCACATCAGGTATTTCAGGGTGGGGAAAGCCATGGGGGGCCTAGTGCTTCGTACCCCGCAAGGCCTCCCCCCGACCCACTGAGGTATCTCATGCTTCCCCCTGCCCCCCATCCTGCCTGACTGGGTTACTTATATTATAGACCTCAATGATCAAGGGAACGGTCTCCTCTCCAGTCTCTCTGCTGCGGTTTCGTCATGAGCGAAGGCTGACAGTGACAAGAGATTGCATCCCTAAAGGCTCCGGTCATCTTTGCAAAAAGCCTTTGCCGCTGAGAACGGAGGCTGGGAGGGGCACGCGCGGCCCCCTGGGCCTCCATTCCCGCCAGGAAAGGCTTTTTGCAAAGATGGCAAAAGATTCTGCAAATGAAGGGAAGTACTAGGGGGAGGGTTAATGTTGCAACTTTGAATGTTGGTTTAGTGACCTGACGTAACTTGGGGATTATCTATAATTGAACCTTGAGCTGCTTCATGAGGAAGTATAAAAACTTCCATGCGCACCTGTTTGGGGTGTCCCCTTCTCCTTTTAAGTTGGACTTTACTGAAACTGCCGGCTTGGGGCGTCCACTTTGCTCCAGTGCAGAGATCAAGTGTCTGAATGGCACTTGAGGGGCCCCTGGTGCCCTCTGAGCCTGCTGGTTTTCTTGCAGACATTTCATGACCCTAACTGCGTGACGTCATCAGTGCTAGGAAGGAGTGGAGTTTGCTGTCTGTTTATATTCTGGTGTTTTGCCTGTCAAGTGTTGGTGTGTGTGTGTGTGGGGGGGGGGGGTCTTAAGAGATCCTTCGATTGCTGTTGGTTCCTTTGGCAGTTTCTTGCCGTCGCACACGCGTCCCTCCTCCTCCTCCTCCTCCTCCGGGACCCCGAATTCGGCCCGGGGGCTCGGCGCCCCTTGGGCCCATCAGAGGGACGGGAGGGGCGGGAAGGGTCCGGCTCGAAAGGAAACGCGCCAGGCCGCCGCCGCCGCCGCCTCCACCGGGGAAACTCGAGGAAAAGCCCCGCCGCCCGATCCGGCTCCCGCCAGGCCCCGCCGCCCTCCGGCTTCTCCGCCCCGGCGCCGCCACGCCCGAGCAGCCGGCGGGGCAGCCTCGTCCGGGCCCAGCGGCGGGCGGGATCGGAGAGGCGGAAAAGGCGGGGCCTCGCGTGGCAGCTTCCGCTAGGGGGCGGGGCGGACGGACGTGGGCGTTGCCAGGGCGTTGCCAGGGCGACCGCGTCGAGCAGCGGGAGGAGGCGGCGGCGGCGGCGGCGGAGCATCGGCCGGGCCGGAGGATGAGCGCGGCGGCGCCGGCCGAGGTGGAGGAGCCGGTGGCGCGGCGCTACGAGATCAAGCGGCGGCTGGGCAAGGGGGTCAGCGCGGGGAGGGGGGACNCCTCCCTCCTCCTCGCGGGGGGGGGACGCTGCCGGCCAGAGGAGCAGCCCGGCGGGCGAGGGTCTCTCTCCGCCCCCCGCTTCCCCCCCCCCGGCCGGTGGTTCAGGGGGGGCGGCCTGCTTGGTCAGTCGGGAGGGGGTGGGGGGGAGGCCGGCCTTCAGCTTCCCCTCCCTCTTGACTCCCCTCCGCCCTTGTAAATTGTCCTGGGAAGCTGTTTTTTCCCCTTGAAAGGTTTAAAACGGTGGAAGAAGACAAAGGCCAGTTAAGTCCTGCAAGTTCCTGGGCAATCTTTCCTTAGATAGGTGTTTAGGCCAGCCCTTTTTATTTATTTATTTATTTATTTCCGTATGGATTTCAACAGTTTTGTAACAAATAACAGATGTTATATAAACAGTTGACTCTTAGGCGACAGCGTATGTAAAAAATGACTTTTTATAAAAATAAGCTTTTCTTAGAAAGGCTCCAATTAAGGGTTTTTATTTGCATTCTGCAAAAGCCACAGGCTTCCTATTCGCCCCAGCTTGCAATCATAATAATTTATTAAACTTGTATGCTGCCTGACTCTCAATGAAATTGGGCCACTCACAACAATCAAATGAAATTACAATAAAATCAATCAAAGATAAAGACAAGGGCAAACGCCGTGAAGTGGGGGTGGGGTCCCTTGCTGAGGGCCTGGGAAAATTCTGCACCACAGCGTGGGGGGTGTGTGCATCTGATTCTCAGAGGAACCTCCTTCCAGAGAAGCAGACAAGATGCGCTTCCAGGGCTCTGATACTGGGCACTCTTTAACTGAAGAAACCTGGAGTGCGCCAACCTGCAGGATTAATTCGGGACAAGTGGTTCCCCCAAGTAGCCAGGCCCTGTGCCACATAGGTAATAAGCAGCACCTTGAGTTGCATCCAGAAGCAAACCCACAGTATATCTCTCAAAGCAGAAATGCTACATGGGCACGTTGAGACATTATTGTTTATGCCACCACATTTTGGACCAGTTGAAGTTTCTGGCTGATCTTCAAGGGCAGCCCCATGTAGAGTGTGCTGCAGTATGCAAGGTGACTAGGGCACGAGTGACACTCTGAACGCCTCTCCTCCCCCATCTAAAGCCCAACTGGTGCATGAAACGAGTGGTGCGAAGGCCTTCCTGATCACAACTGATACCTGCTCTTCAAGCAGGAACTCTGAATCCAGGAAGACACCCCCCCCACCCCCCCCAGATTGCATATCAACTTAGCTGGGGCAGAAACTTGGTGGTCTGCCTTGGCCAGCCTCGAGTCAAAAGATAAAATTAAAAGTATAGCCCTAAACCGGGAGGTGACCCCACCCAGTTTCAGGTAGGTGTTGAAAAGGAGGAAGAAAGTAGAATCCTGTGGGGCCCTATACAGTGGGTGCATAGAGAGTGATCTCCCCCCCCCAACCAACATTACCTGGAGCCTGCCCTAGAGAAAGAAAAAAAACGCCTGCATAACTGTAGCCCTGATCCCCAGCTCAGAAGGATGGGAGCCTAGGCCAGGGCTGGTTTGGTCTTATGTCTTGCAGGAATTTGGAGGGCATCCAAACATCATCCAGCTCCTGAACGTCATCCGGGCTCAGAATGACAAGGACATTTATCTGGTTTTCGAATCCATGGGTGAGCTCTTCCCAGCTTCCCATGAGAGAGGGAGGAAGGCAGGCAGGCAGGCAGCCAGCACCACAGAAGCCTGTCCAGTTGGATTCAAATCCTAGAAGTTTGCTTGTTTTTAACTATTGATTGCATTTTCATTTACAGTTATTTACATTGTTGTAAACACTTTGGGAGGGTTGTTTTCCTGAAAGGCGGGATATAAAATAATTGTAATTTTTAGAGTAAAATTCTAGGAACTAGTCAGTTGCCAGGAATTAATACTGCCTCAAAGGCAGCAAACAAATAAAAGCAAATTTGTAAATGCCATTTCAAATAAAAGCTTGAATGGAAGATAAACTTGTGGAGGTGACTTGCAACACGAGGGTCTTAGGACGGTTTTAATTGTTCAGCAGTTTACAGAGTTATTGCAGAGTAATGAAAATGTGTTAATAATGGAAGCATATAGAAGAATCTTTTAGCGGGTTAGGGTTTATAATGGTAGATTATGCTCTGCCAGTAGGGGATCCTGAAAATTAAAGCCCAATGTCACATCCCACAATGTTTGTGATATATTCTGCTCAAACAATGCCAGTGATGTGTTTTGGTCTGCATCCACCCTTGGAACAAGGGCTACACATTCATTGCTGTTTTCGTTTTTCAGAGACAGACTTGCATGCAGTGATCAAGAAGGGAAATTTACTGAAAGACATTCATAAGTGCTACATCCTGTACCAGCTCTTGAAAGCCACCAAATATATCCACTCAGGAAATGTTATTCACAGGGACCAAAAGGTATTTATTTTATTTATCAATTTTTAAGCCCTCCCTCCAGTTCCTTGATGATTCTAGGCACTTACAAATAAAAAGACAAAAAAAAAAAAACAAGACACGGGTGACCAGATGAACAGAACATCAGCCATAAACAGCCATAACTAAAGGAGCTCCAGAACCACACTGTCCCCAAGGCCCTAGAGGACAACCAGGCCTTTAATAATTTCCTAAAAGTCATAATGTGGCAGTCGTAATAATCTCTGGGAGATACGGTTCCAGGGGGCAATTGTGTAAGAGTAAGTGGGCTTCCTGGCTACCTCAAGATGATCCTTTTTATATTTAATCAGTGGGACCCAGAGTGTATCTGCCCTGCTTGGCTGATTGTGCTGGCAGACAGACAGACAGACAGACAGACAGACAGACAGACAGACAGACAGACAGACAGACAGGACAGGACAGGACAGGACAGGACAGGACAGGACAGGACAGGACAGGACAGGACAGGACAGGACAGGACAGGACAGGACAGGACAGGACAGGACAGGACAGGACAGGACAGACAGAACAGACAGACAGACCAGACAGACAGACAGACAGACAGACAGACAGACAGACAGACAGACAGAGGCAAATGGAGATAAAACAGTCCTGCAGACAGTCAATTATTCTGCCAGGAAGGATCTTATGCACAAGGAACAGAAACTGTAATTCTGTTGGAAACCATCTGGTATCCAGCACAGGTTTTCCAGAATAATGGAGTCATGTACCCGTAAGGCAGCCATCCCACCACCGCCTGTGTTTTTTCTGTGCTCTGGACCACCAATAGGCTGAGGCTTCCGGATGAGCAGCCCCACTTAATCGTGAGGTGACCAGGGCAGACGTGGCTGCCTGAAGGCCAGCTGGGCCAGAAAAGGCCACAATCGATGGCACGGATGTGCTTGTGTCAAGGCCATTTTAGGCACAGCTTCCACCTGTTCTTTGAGGAGCAGTTGAGAGTGCCTAAATTTAATTACAAGTCTTGAATGGGGAAGTGCAGCCCCACTGGGAGTTGATAGTGAAATATTTCCAGGTCGTGGTAGCCTTAGTAGACACAGCTACCTGACATGATGAACCCTGAGCCTGTTCCTCTCCATCCAGCCCTTCCAGGCACTTGGTTAGATTTTGGCCACATCCCTTGGCAGCCATACACAACTGGGTATCCTCCCCATAGTTCCACTTCTCATCCAAGCCTTTCCAAAGACTTCACCCAAAGGCTTCGTGTGTATGTTGAGTGGAAGGGGAGGCAGCATCAAAGCCTGAGCAAAGAACCCGGGGCGTGATCGCTCACCACCTGCCCCACGCCGCCGACCGAAGGTAGCCAGGGAGAAATGAGGAGAAATGCCACAGAGCAGCCTAGCCTCAGCCCCCACAGCTGATTCAGAAGGACGCCAGGGCCACCGGCATCAGGTGCCCTGGAGAGAGCAAGGGGCACCAGGAGGGATGTCAGATCATGAACTAGCGTGACCAACGTCATTTCTGTACTAAATCCTGGCTTGAAACCCGATTGATCTGGATCCTGATAATCTGTTTCCTCCGGAGTCTTCTGAAGCCGAAGCCCAGGTACCCTCTCTCTACCACCTTCCCTGAAATGGGACTTTTGGGAGTGAGGAGGTACCACGGCCTCCTTTAATTATTCCTATTCAGGTAGAAAAGTCTTAAATTAATGAAAATAAGTGAGGACAAAGTGGGAACTGGATTATCCTAACCTTCTTCCCATCCTTCTTCCAGGCACGTCATTTACTTACTATATTTCTGCATTTCCTCCCCTGGGCTGTATAGTTTATAGTTTAACTATGGGATCAGTTACATTGAGAGAAAGTAATCCGCCAGACTGTGTCATGGTGAAGGCATCAGGCTAGAAACGGGGGGTCTGTGAGTTCTAGTCCTGCCTTTAGCATGAAAGCCATCTGAGTGGGCCGGCCATCCACTCTCAGCCCTAGGAAGGAGGCAATGGCAAACAGCTTCTGAAAAATCTTGCCAAGAAAATTGCAGGGAGTTGTCCAGGTAGTATGGAGAATCTGACACAGTTGAACGGAAAGAAAAAAAGAAAAAAAAAAACCCAGCCCCCTAGGTCTTGGGTTGAGTTCCATGAACCATTTCATGGCTAAATCCCAGCTTCATACAAGAAGGAAGGAAAATTTTGCCCCCAGGGTAATGGGCTCCAGGGGAGTGTGTGTGTGTGTGTGTGTGTATGCATACCAGCAATGGAGATTAGGTGGGGCTATCTATTGCAGACATGCTCCCCTCTAACATAAGCACCATTATCTTGCATGCACGGTCTCTAGAAAATTCACTTATCACTTGGCAGTTAAGCTTTAAAGCAGGCTTTATAAAAGAAGATTTTTAAAGCCTCATATTGGACAACAAATTATTATTTTAAGGGAAAAGGGCTAGGCATTCCCTCCCCTCAACACATGTTCTCCACCCTGCACTGAGGCCTTAAAATACATTTCTTTTATTAACTGGAAAGCGTTCTGGAGGAGAAGCTCTCATCTTTGATCACCGCTATTCCAAGATAAGAGCGCTTCCTTTTTTTAACCTGCTCTTAGTAGAATCGGGCATAGCCGGATGCCGGTGGGTCGAGTGATTGGATGGCTGTACGAGTCCCTCCCTCCCTCACCGTTCCTCTTTTCACCGCCCTCCACTTCCAGCCTTCCAACGTCTTGCTGGACAGAGACTGCTTTGTGAAGTTGTGCGACTTTGGACTGGCTCGTTCCCTGGGCCAAATCGAAAAAGATGAAGGCAACCCTGCACTTACGGAGTACGTTGCTACTCGCTGGTACCGAGCCCCTGAGATCCTGCTTGCATCAAAATGGTAAGGAGTGGACTCCACGTGAGCCGTAGGAGGCGGGAGGGAGGGTGGCTTTCTCCGCCTTTACTTTTCCTTCCCGGGGATGTAATATAGCAACACCCAAAGTCCCAAACTTTTTTGAGAGCTCAAGGGGGACTAAGCAAGCTGGAGCTGCAGAGTGAAGTTGTAGTTCGGGTTTCCTAACCAGACGCTTGTTAGATTATGACAGAAGGGAACTGTACTCAGAGACTGTGGCTTCCTGGATTGACCATAGTTTGAAATTTGTACAAACCTTGAGCCCATTTGAGGGTGCGGTTTAGAAATTAGAGAAGCAAACCACACAGCAATTCTCCCCATTTTGAACCAGGAACAACCTGGTGGCTTCCTTGGTTCAAAATATCCAGTTAAAGAGGAATTTGTGGATCCACGTGTCGCATCTGAAAAAGCTTCAAAAAAATGGGCCCATTCTCCGGTGCTTCGGCTGGAAGCAGGCTTCCCCCGTGAGCTGCGAACGGGTTTCTTTCAAAGCTCCTGCCACCTCTGGGTTTGTAGCTGCTGGAGGTTCTTTCAGTTTTTCCATAATTAAAGGATAACTCAGGAGCCAATCAATGAGAATTGGCAAAACACCTTTGGCCACCTCTAAATGGCTGCACTCCTTTTTTAAAAAAAAAAAATTTTTTTTTACCCCTTCTTCTCCTATAGTTGCAAAGATACAAGCTGTAAAGTGATACAATTTCTTGGGTGGCTTTGTAAAGAGTGAGGAGACGACTGAAGCCATTGTTTCCCCTTCCCCTTTATGACGGGTTCATTTCCCAGGAAACTATCTTGGCCTGGGTCAAATGTTCCTTTTTGTGACCCAGGCAGTGTATATGTGTGCATGCGCACGTGCCTTCTTTCTGTTTTTTCCTCAGCGGCCCCCCCTGCCCCCACCCCTTCCTTTTTGCAATAGCTTCCCACTCGTAAGCAAGACCAGCCATGGCAGAACGTCCGTTTTCTGCTTTTGACACGCCTGTCTTCCCCCCCCCTTCTTCATCCTCTACATTCTTTCCCTCACGCTCCCCCCCCCAAAAAAAATTTGCCACCAATCTTATCAGTGGGAAAGCTTTAAACAGCAATCTTTCTGAGAGGAACACATGCCCCCAAATCCAAGAGGGAGTGAATGAAAGCAAGAGAAATCACAAATAACAACGGACCCATTTCCGTGACCCAAAGCACAGCTGGCTCTAGAACGACACGGAACTGGTTCCCCAGTGCTGGGTGAACGCCTGTCTGTGGCTGGCAGCCATGCTTGGCAGCTGATCCTGGCCCTGTCTGGAGCAGGCCGGGGGGGGGAGGGTGGCGCAGCCCTTTGGTGGTTGTGCGGCCTGTGCCGGAGGACCCCTCGGAGGCTCTCTTGCTCTCAGTTGCACAGTCCTTCCTCGTTGTGGACTTCCTCCCCTGCTCCGTTTCTCCTATGCCCTTCTCTAGTTTGCTTCCCAAATGGGCCAGTCTGCCTCTCTCAAGAGGTCCCTGGGGCAGAAACCTCAAAGCTCCTCCCACTGTCACCTGTGGGCGGTGTATTAAAAGGTGGCATTCACACCTGTTGCGCATGAGGAATCCTAATCTCGGCCGTGCCTGAATGGTCTTGTGGGCCTTGCCTGTCCATCCGCTGCCGTGTGTGCTGCCCACTGAGACAGCTTTCGGTCAGTCTCCGCAAGTGTCCGTGGAGATTCTCAGTCACCCAGGTCATGAAGCTTCTCGGATGAGAAGCGAAATGTTTCCAAGTGCAAAAACCTAAGAAACTCCGATTGCCTTTTGGAAAAGCACCTTTGGGACAGTTTCAGCAAGATATCCAACTCTGGACTACGGGGGGGGGAGGGGGGGGTGCTCCTCTCTGGGCCGGGGCTGGGAGTTCTCTCTCTCTCGGCACCCAGAAACCCGCTAGTGAGATGGCCTCACACAAAGGGAGCTGAGGCAGGGGCCGCCTGGCGCAGGGGGCCGTGCAGAGTCGACAGTACGGGCGCCCAGTGCCTGGGGAGGGAAGGCCTGCCACGCCCTGGAGCGTGATGGGGCAGGGCCTCTCTGGCAAGCCCGGTCTTCTCCCCGATGAGCCATCAACAGCCAGAGTCAGAGGCTGGGAATGGCTGGTGTTAGGAGCCGGCTGCGAACAGCAGTGACAGCAGCACTGGGTGATGGATTGATTTGGGTCGGATCTCTGGGTGTGGGCATCCTGTCTGTGGTACCAGAACTGTAGGAAAGCTCTCCCTTGACCCCAGTTTGCAGGTAATACAGCCAACAACGGAAGATGTTTCAAACTGAGCAATCCGTAGGTACAGGGTGTTACATGCAAAAGCACCGTTTTATCACATATGTCATTTTCCTAATTTCCTTATTAGGAGCAAACAGCGATTGATTTAAGATAAAAGCATCTTATCCTTGATCATAAGTAATTGTTTCTAATTTGCTTCTTTCCCTGGGAATTGTACATAGCAGCAGTTTAAACAAAGGCTACTGGTTCCTAATTGTTGTGTAGCCTATGCTTTCCACCCCCTATTCATTCTCTTTGCTGCCAGCACTTTGTTTTGTACAACTTACCTGCTGTTATGACAGCTTCTAGCTTACTCTGTTGTGACTCAAGACACGTCCACTAATGTTTGCTGATTTGGGATCCCACAATGTATATACCACTACGCCTCTCGAGGAAAACGTAGACAGAAGATTTACTCCTCCTCTCATAATGTTGGAACCTGGGCCAAGCCGTTAAAATTAAAAGCAAGGCTATGAGGGCCGATAAAAGGAAGTTGTGGATTCTGGAATTTTCTGCCATCGGGTGCGGAGATGAGCGCCAATTCAAGAGTTTTAGAAAAAGAGCGGACAGGCTCATAGAGTGTTCATGTCCTTGAACACTGAAAAAACAGGCATGCCGGCACAAGACAGGCATTGCCTAGCTTGGCAGTAACGTCTGTTGGAAGGAGCCCTGGGCGTTCTGGCAGGCCACGGATTAAACCTGTGGGCCTGTGAGGTGCTGAAGCTGCCGTTGAAGGAGTCGGTGCGGTCTTGGGCTGCATCAATGGAGATAACAATGTGGAGATCCTGGGAAGTGGCATTTCTACTCTCAGCTCCGCTAATCAGACTGGCCTGGAACACTGGCCCAGCACAAGAAGGAGGCTGAAGAACTAGAAAGAAAGTGGAGAAGAGGGACAAGGGTGGTGAAGGGCCTGGAGGCTCAATATGTCGTGAAAGTTGGGGGAACAGGGCATGTGCGGCCCAAAGAAGAGAAGGCCGGGGTGAGACACGGCAGCGTTCTTTCAGGGCCTGTGGCAGGGAAGAGGTGTGGAGGGCAGGGCAAGGAAGAGCAGGAGTTTCCTGACCCAAAGGGCCCTTCAGCAGTGGGGCAGGCTGCCTCCTGGAACGAAGGCAGCTCCGTTGCTGGAGGTTTTCAAGCAAGGATTGGCAGCCACCTGACTGGAATAGTCTGAGGACTCCTGCCTTCGGCGGGGGGTTGGGCTACGGGACTTCTAACTATATGTTAGTTTACTACTCCCTGATCACAGCAATAACTGCTGGGCAGCTATAGTTGAAATGGGAGGCCAGTCTTTTGCGTACATGTTTATTAAAAAAATTAAATTGTCTAATAGCAAAAGCTCTCTGTGCAATTTACAGAAATGGTTCTCCCGGTGGCCACTAGGAAGAAATGGAAGAAATCCCTTCCCTTCTGCCAAAGCACCTTAAAGGTTGCCTGGCCACTTCCTCCGAGGACACAGCCACCGGAAGAAGCACACACACACACACACACCCGGGGGAAGAGGCAGGCAGGCAGGCAGAGGCTGGCGGAGAGGGTGAAAGAGATGAAAGGAAAAGGAGGGGAGCTGTGCAGCGACACCTCAATTTAACGGATGACTCGCAGGCAGGAGCCCCTCTTCTTTTCTTCCAAATTGTCAAATTGGTATACAGGAGAGACTGTGGGAGCTGCATAAGCCTCCAACCAAACCGAGTGGCAAGGAACATTTTGGGAACAGGGAAGCAAATCGGGTAACTGTATAATTTTGGAATGATGGCAGCAAGATACTAAAGCATATCCTCAAAATCAGCATAGAGAAATTATGCCATTTGTGACCAAAAGACCCCCCTTTTCTCCACAGCCACTGCGTGATGCAATTTTTGGGACTACGTGGGCCTTGGCCACATTCAGCCTCTGTATTCCTTTATATAACAGTCACGTTGTGAGTGTCAAAACGTTTCTTTGTGCCCTTAATGAATGGCATGGCTGGCATTGGAACTTGATTGCAGTGCCAAAACCAGAGCCGTTCCCAACATCCGAAGCCGTTTCCCCAGGTTAATCAAATTTGGTGAACTCTTCTGCTACTTTTTCAGAGCAAAACCGGCCCCTCTTCCCATGCTCGGCACCAGGTGCACCTGGCCTCTTTGCGCTTTCCACACAGGGGTGGGGGGGGAACGGGACTTTTGATCCCCGCTGCCTTTTCTTCTTTCCCTGCAGTTACACCAAGGGGGTGGACATGTGGAGCATCGGCTGCATCTTGGGGGAGATGCTCCTGGGGAAGCCCCTGTTCCCAGGAACATCGACCGTCAACCAGATAGAGCAGATCCTGCATGTTATTCCTCCCCCCAGCGCAGGAGGTAAGAAGGGCTCTCTCTCTCCCTCTCTGTCTCTCTCTGTCTCCATCTCTCTGTGTCTCTCTCTCTCTCTCTCCCCGTCTCTCCGTCTCTGTCTCTGCCTAGATCCGATGGGACAGGCAGGTGGAGCCATTCACAGCTCCCTTCTTGCTGTAAAAAGCTGATGCGTTGCTGCATCGCCATCCCTTTGTTCCCTCCTTTGCCGAAGGGAAACTGAGGGTTCCCCCCCCCGGAATCTCACCCGCTTATGCCCTGAGACGCCTTGTGGATCCCAAAGATTTTCTGCTGTTCCTCCTGCTGAGCCCAACTGGCGCCCAGGCAGGCAGGGAGCTTCTGAGAGTTTCGCCAGCAGAGAGGGAAGTCCTGGGATGTGGGATTGGTTTATTGAAGCTGGTGCTTCTGAAGAGCTTCCCATAACACCCGCCCCCTCCCCAGGCAGACTCTTGAGCAGCTTGGCCCTGGGCTCCGGTCCCCCTTATAAGATGTCTACCTCCGTCCTCAGCCAAGCTTCAGAAAGGAGGCGAGGCTCCCTGGGATGGCCCACAGAGGCACCTGGCCCCTCCCCTTGCTGGCTGTCGTAGGTGTCGGCCTTCTGGGTGGTTTGGGAGCTGGTCCCCGTCTCATTGTGGAAGGGAACCCGAGCACTGGGAAGGAACTCGGGTGTCATCTGGTTCAGGCCCCTGCTAAGGCTGGAATTTGTGGAGACGTCGAGGGAGCTGAGAGCGTCCATGGGGATCAGCAACCCAAACCTCCTGTTACCCCCTGGGTTTAGGGGAGCAGGAGGGTAAACGTCCACGAAACAAATCACCACCCATTGGCCAAACCACCAGAGTCAGACCAGAGCACCACCGAGTGTCCCCTTTCTCCCCCCAACCGCAGAGACAGCGTGGACCAGCCTCACTTTGAAAAGGCTCCCGTGTCTGTCCCCAAGCTTAAGTGCAAAATAAGCCTCCTTTCTGGGTCTGGATCTGATAAGGCAGAAAGAATCTAGCCCAGGTGACTTGGATGGGGAGGGGTGCAGGGGGCTCATCTGAGCGCAGTCCAAACCCAGAAGTGGAAGTGAAGAGGGGCCGCATAAAAATGGCCCCTGGGTTCCCCCACCGTTCAACTGAATCATAGCTTATTCGACTCAGTTTTCTAGGCTTCAGCTCTCTTCTGCACAGCCGACCCGACCAGCGGGACTAGCTTGCGGCTCGGTGTATGTCGTCCCGCAGACAGGGGGGTACAGGAAAGGGTCAGGGAGGCCGAGAGCAAGTGTGGCCGGTCTCCTTTAGCAGCCCTGGCGGAGCAGGTGGGAGAGGAAAGGGGAGGGACCAGCCGCCCCCTGAAGAATCCAATTAGTTTGGGCCCCTTCCTGACACGCCCTCCTGCTGTCCCTCTCTGGTAAGCCCTCCCTCTTAAGTCCCCAGCTGTGCCCGGCTCCCGGCCTCTCGCCAGGGAGTTTACCTCTCGGGCCTTCCTAACCCCAAGGACTCCGGGGCTTTCAGGTCAGAACGGAAGGCGAACTGCCCCTGTCCGTTCAAGGTACCCACTGGGGGACGAGAAGACAAAAGAAGTCTGCAGGGCAGTTTATTTGTACTTCCTGGGTTTAGGTGCCACTGAAGCCCCAAATTGCCCTCTCAGAGGCCAGGCCCTGCTGGAAGAAACCGAAAAGGCTCTCCTCGGTGGTCCCTGAGACCCTGAGGGGAATTTCTGATCCGTTGCTTTGCTTTGTAGATGTGGAGGCCTTCCGTTCTGACTACCGAGCCTCCGTTATCAACCGTGTGAGCTGCCAGTAAGTGTTTTCTTTTGCTGAATGGATCGCAGTTCCCGAGGAGGCGCCTCTTCCACCTCGGGGTGAGAGGCGGGCTGGGAGCTCTCTGTGGAGTGGAACCGCAGCGTGCTTTCTGTCCCGGCTGCAGGCCCCAGCTGACTCTGGAGGAGCTCTTGCCTGCCTCCACCCCTCCCCAGGCCCTGGACCTTCTGAAGCGGCTCTTGGTGTTCAACCCCGAGAAGCGGCTGACGGCAGAGGAGGCCCTGGAGCACCCTTATGTGCAAAGGTGGGAGCCCCCTGGGCCTTCGCTACGGCCGCCTGGTGTCTCTCTCAGGCGGGCAAAGCCGTGTTCCGGCCTCCCTCGGCCGGCCTTGTGCTCACCCGGCCTTCTCCCGGCAGGTTCCACTGTGCCGCCAAAGAGCCTGCTCTCGACCACAGGGTGGCCCTTCCTCTTGCTGACGACGTGCAGCTCTCGGTGGCCGAGTATCGCAATCGGGTTTATGAGGTAACCCCGCTGCCCCCGGCCCAGAGGGACCCCAAGGGGGCCTTCAGCTCTGCTCTGGGGAGATCCTCAGTGGCCCAGAGAGCTGAAGGAAGACGCCTGTCCCGAAGGGGTAGGAACTTTGGGAGAGAGTGACTGTGACGCACTCGGGTTTGCCTCAATGCAGGCAAGCACGACTGAACAAAGTCGGGCTACTTTTCTAGAGTTTAAGAGCTGACTTCAGCAAACTAAGAAAGAGTCCATGGATGGAAATCCTGAGGGGAAAACAGTTCAGGATGCTTAGGAAACCAAAAACGAGGTAACAAAGGCCCAAATAAAATACCACAGAGAAAGAAATTGTGAGCAGCTCGGTTGCACAAAGGGCTCTCTCGCCAGCGGAGGATAGGCTTAGGATACAGATGGATCTGGACAGACTTGAACATTGGGCACTGTCTAACCGAATAAAATTCAATGGTGAGAAAAGTAAGGTTCTACATTTAGGCAAGAAAAACCAAATGCACAGGTACAGTGTGGGTGGCACCTGGCTCAATAGTAGTAACTGTGAGAGGGACCTCGGAGTCCTAGTGGACAATCACTTAAATAGGAGCCAGCCGTGTGCTGCAGCTGCCAAAAAAAGCCAACACAGTGCTAGGCTGCATTAACAGAGGGATAGAATCCAGATCACATGAAGTGTTAATACCACTTTACAAGGCCTTGGTAAGGCCACACTTGGAATACTGCATCCAGTTTTGGTCACCACGATGTAAAAAAGATGTTGAGACCCTAAAAAAGAGTGCAGAGAAGAGCCACAAAGATGATCAGGGGACTGGAGGCTAAAACATATTAAGAACAGTTGCTGGAATTGGGTATGTCTAGTTTAATGAAGAGAAGGATGATGGGTGACATGATAGCAGCCTTCCAATATCTCAGGGGCTGCCCCAAAGAAGAGGGAGTCACGCTATTCTCCAAAGCACCTGAAGGCAGGACAAGAAGCCACGGATGGAAACTAATCCATCCAGAGAAAAGTAACCTAGAACTAAGGAGAAATTTGGAACAACCTGCCTCCAGAAGTTGTGAATGCTCCAGTGCTGGAAGTTTTTAAGAAGAGACTGGGCAACCATTTGTCTGAAATGGTATAAGGTCCCTTCCAACTCTATTATTATTGCTATAATAAAAAGGGCAAGTATAATAGATGGAAAGAGGGGCTTGTAACTAGAGCAGAATTCCAGCAAATAATAGTTTGAGTTTACAAGGACAGTCTGGAAGGCTCAGAGTAAACTTTCAACAAATGCCAAAGTAAAAACAAAGTTTCTTATAAATAAACCTATAAAGGTTTCTATATAAGGAGCAAGAGGAAAATATGTCTGGCCTTTTGAAGATGAGGATTAGGGAGGACATGGACAACTGCCTTCCAGGGGCTGTCCAGAGAGAAGAGGAGATTGACTTATTCTCCAAAGCCTCAGAAGCCTTCAGGACAAAAAGTAATGGATGGAAGCTTGTTAAAGAGATGAGGAGAAATTTTCTAACAGTGAGAACAATGAATCAATGAAAAATTTTGCCTCCAGTGCTCCTGCACTGGAGGTTTTCAAAAATAGACCATTTGACAGCCATTTGACCGGGATGGAATAAGGCCGTGGTGGCGAACCTATGGCACGCGTGCCACAGGTGGCACGCAGAGCCCTCTCTTTGGGCACGCGTGCCGTCATCCCAGTCCTAGGTCTTCAGCTGGGTTTTATAAAACCTTTTCGCTTTAGGCCTCTGCCGCCGTGTGCAAAAAAAAAAAAAAAAGGTTCAATCAGTCAATTTCAACTTCTTGCGGGGAAAAAAAAAAGATCTCGCAAAGTTGGAATTGATTGATTGAACTTTTTAGTCCCACCCAGTCTGCCATTACCACCACAGCCACGCCCACCCAATGGGCCACTCCCACCTGGCACCCGATGATACATAAGTGGGTTTTGGGTTACAGTTTGGGCACTCGGTCTCTAAAAGGTTCGCCATCGCTGGAATAAGGTATCCTGCCTTCAGCAGGGGGTTGGGCTAGAAGACCTCTGTGGTCCCTTCCAGCCTATGATTTTATGTTCTATGTTCTACATACAAATGGTGCCATTAGTCTAAATGAGAAAGGGCTCCTTCTGCCTGAAATTTGGGAGAGTCAATTAATGTAGACAATTATACATGTCGCTACAAAATTCCCTGTCTGTACGTGCCAAGAAGCTCTTTTACCCAGCATAGTTTGAAGTTTTTGGGTGAATGAAGCTGGGAGGCCCTCCATAGTTAGTATTTTCCTCACTGGCTGGATTCCTCTTAAAAGGAATTTTTCCCCTTCGCCTTCTCCTCCCGCTTTAGAATTTCCAGTTTTAGTCTTCCCTGTCATGTTACCTTGGCTCCTTTGGCCAGAAAAACAAATTTTGAGACCCTTCCTTCCTTCCTTCCTTCCTTCCTTCCTTCCTTCTCTCTCTTCTTTCCAGTTGATCTTGGAATGGAAGGCCAGCAGCCAAGCACAGAAGCAGCAGCCCCTCCATCGAGATCATCTTTCGTCTGGTTCCTCGGAGGCCAGTTCCCCTGTCGGAGCCCACTGCCTGATGCAGGGAAGGACACAGCCTCTTCCATCCCATGGGTCTCCTCCACCTCTTGCGGCAGCTTCCCAGCAGAGAGCAAATGAGGCAAGAAACCCTTGCCCAAAGCCAAAGTTGAGCTCCACCGTCTGCAGTCCTACAGCTAATGTAGCTGCCCAAAGTAAGTGCATTCTCCTTGCAAAGGTACACTAAAATATTGCAAAAATCTGCCTTCCTGCCACAAATGAATACATGTTTCCATGGGTAGATTAATTACATTCCAAGATGTCCCAAAGTCCTTTTTCAAAAGGCAACTGGACTTTGTTTTTTCCTTGAAGATGTTTCACTTCTCATCTAAGAAATTTCTTCAGTTTTGACTAAACGGTGGGGAATGGAAGGATTTATATTCCTTGCAGTCATCTGGTCGTTAGTACTCTTTCTGAGAGTCATTGAGGCCACTTGGAGGCTTATCTGCCCTCGGGATCACCTGAATAGTGCAAATGGGTGTGGAGCCTTCTTGGAACTGCTGAAAGGACGGTGTTGTAAACAGGAGATAGGTGGTGTCGGATCCCTCCCCCTCTGTTGAGAGAGGGCTGTTCAATTTTAACATAGATGGCTTCTTTGACCCCTCTTTCAAACCAGTGGTCCTCTCTGTCCAAAATGTGGACTTTACTGTCTTTGAAAGAGTGGCCTTTGCCTTTCAAATGAAGATGGATTGCTGAATCTTGTCCTGATGGGTTTGTTCTCCTATGTTGCGCCATGCGTTTATGAAGTCGTTGTTTTATTTCCGCAATGTACAGATCTGCACATGGCTCACTGCATTGTACTGCATACACCACATTGCTCAGTTTGTGTCTGGGTGTTTTATCCTTGGGGTGGAAAAGCTTCTGCCTTAGTGTATTTGGGGGGTTAAAGTGTGAATGTATATTGTGTTGGTTGAAAATCCTCCTGAGCTTTTCAGATATTCCTTCAACGCATGGCATGACAACGTCGCTTCATTTGTTGTTGTCTGTTTTGTCTGTTATGGAGGAGCCTTTTTTTGGATCCAATGAAGGCCCACTCAGGACAGCTACAAGTTCTGAAGGCTTCCTCTTTTCCTTTTCCATCTTTGCTGGTAGGCAAACGTTCAGCCCGGTGGTCTAGGGGTCCGATCACTCCCATTTTTTTGTGCTCCAGTGGGTGCTGAAAATGAAAATGTAGATATTGATCTGTGTGTATGTGTGTATGTGTGTGTGTGTGAGGGGGGGTGTTCTGTAAACTTCAGTGTTAAGGATTCCATCTTCCTTAATGTGTACTGCACAGTCCAGGAAGGCCAAACTGCAGCTGCCAAAAAAGCCAGCACACCGCTAGGCTGCATTAACAGAGGGATAGAATCAAGATCACCTGAAGGGTTAATACCACTTTACAAGGCCTTGGTGAGGCCACACTTGGAATACGGCGTCCAGTTTTGGTCACCACGATGTAGAAAAGATGCTGAGACTCTAGAAAGAGTACAGAGAAGAGCAACAAAGATGATTAGGGGACTGGAGGCTAAAACATATAAGGAATGGTGGCTGGAATTGGGTATGTCTAGTTTAATGAAGAGAAGGACGAGGGGGGACATGATAGCAGCCTTCCAGTATCTCAGGGGTTGCCCCAAAGAAGAGGGAGTCAAGCTACTTTCCAAAGCGCCTGAAGGCAGGACAAGGAGCAACGGGTGGAAACTGATCAAGGAGAGAAGCAACCTGGAACTAAGGAGAAACTTCCTGACAATGAGAACAATTAACCAGTGGAACAACCTGCCCCCAGAAACTATGAATTCTCCAACACTGGAAGTTTTTAAGAAGAGACTGGACAGCCATTTGTCTGAAATGGTATAGGGCAGACATGTCAAACTCGCGACATCATGTGACGTCACGTGACGTATCGGGACAGTTTTGCCATTGCCGGCAATGGGGTGGGTGCAGCTTCCGCATGATGCGTCCGGCCCATGGGCCAGCAGTTTGACACCCCTGATACAGGGTTTCCTGCCTGAACGGGGTTGGACTAGGTGACCTCCAAGGTCCCTTCCAACTTTATTATTATTATTCTTTTCCTTAACATCTTCCCAAGTGAGCTTAATGTATCTGTACACAGAGTTGATGTGTTTGGTGGAGCTTCCAATTCCTGTGCTTGAGTCTTGACCCAGGTATCTCATCCATATATCTATACCAGTGAGTGGTTGGAGTTCCTGTGAAGGAGTTTATGGCTTTGGTTTCTACCTCTCTCATGTAGAGGTTGGCCACAACGGGGGGCACAGGTGAGCCCATGGCGCAGCCGTGTTTTTGCCTGTAGAAACCGTCACGGTATTTAAAATAGGTAGTGGTCAGGCAGAGGTCCAGCATGGCACATAGGTGGCTGAGCTGAGGTTGGTTCTGCCGCCCACTGGGTGGCCCTGTAGCAGCCGTTCCTTCACTACCGTGAGGGCCTCAGTTCTTGGAATGCAGCTGAAGAATGCAGGCTGTGCTAGAAGGGTCGAGAGACACCGGACAGCCCTGTGGGAATGAGACGTTCAGCAGAGTGATGGCAGGTGGGGGGGGGAACTGTCTTTGTGTCCAGTTGTTTTGGCCTGCAATACCCTCTAGTGCCATCCTGAGGGGAGGAGTTGAAACAGTTTTGTGTCCAGGATGTGAGGGGTCTGCAGATAACTTCTCAGCCATCCTTGACTTAAGAATTTCAGCTCAGGTAGCCCTCACTTGCCAGTTCCAGTTGTTACACCGAGGATGTATACCAGCCTTGATGGGGCGCTCTCGGAGATTCCCCGCAGGAAATGGGCAAAGGCAGGACAGATGCTACCTGGTTTAATTTAACCTCCATTAACGCTAGACTCATCCAGGAGCCGCCTTCTTCTTCTTCTTCATGGTTACCCTGCTTGTTCTCTCTGGCACATAACGGTTCCAATTTACTGGCCGCTTTGTAAGTGCTCCAGGAGCTGCTCCCCCCCCCCCCGTGATCGCTGGGGACCGTGGAGCCTCAGGTTGTCTATTCCTGCCTGTGATTTGCCCATCTTTCCCCTTTTCATGTTTCTCCCCTCTCCAAAGATTTCCTGCCTGCTGGCAACGTGGTGACGGGTCCGCCTCCCTCAGGCCTTCGGCAGCATCGGAGAGCAGCGGGCACATCCGCTCCTTGGGACGTGAGTCGCTCCGCCTTTTGCTCTTGCTGATCTAGACCTTGCAGGACTGCGGGCCTCCCCTGGGACTGCAAGAGCTCCTGGTCCTTGAAGGGGGTCCTTTCCAGTGGCCAGGCTGGCTCCCTGGGGGCTGGCACACGCTTCACCCGAGGTGATCCCGGCTCCTTCCCATTTTGATTCCAGAGTGCTGGAAACCTCTTTTTCCTGTTGATCGAGGGTTCTCGGCTCATAGCAAATGCCCGGAGGGGCTTCCCGAGAAGGGGGCCCAGTGCTTCCTACATGCTGCATCCTGGAAGGGCCTCCCCCGCACAGCCATGCAAGCGTTCGTGTAGCCCTCGGTCCCCCCTTCCTCTTGGGCTGCACAGGGAGTGAGAAGCTCTGCCCCGCAGAAGGGGCCGTGTACATAAGGCCCACGGCATACAGCTGTTCCACGGGGGGGGAGGGTGTTTCTCTGGAAGGAGCCCCCAGCTCTTAGCCTGCCTGACGGTAAAACGATCCCTGCGTTGCTGACAAAGAGCTTTCAGGTGTTTCTCCCTTTGGACGGGCTGCCTGGTTCTTCGTCTGCTCCTCTGTCTTTTTCCCTCTCGTCCCTGTTCCGGTGGGGCTGCCTTTGGTTTCCTTTCACCTGGGTGGTGCTGGGGGAGTTGTGTGAGGCCAGTTGTGCTTCAGAGTCATGCAATGATGCGAAGAGTGGATGAATCTCCTTCTCTCTGTGATCTGCCTCAGCAGGTGCCGAAGGGGCCGGGGGCGGCAGGCCAGGCCACGTCCCCCTTCAAGCCTCTTTCCTTGCTCGGCCAGGCTCAGGAAGCAGCCCTCCACCAGCACCTGATGAGGAAGGGGGCTGTTCCCAGCAGGGCTGCCGCTGGGCTGGTGAGTGAAGCTTTTCCTGACCAAATAATCCTGGGCTTGGCTGCCTTCTAGCTGGAGGGCTCCTCCGGGACAGCCCAGCTTCACTTTCTCTGGCCGGAAAAAGCTGAGGGGCGCAGGCGGGGGGCCCTGGGGTGGGGAAACACCTCCCTCCCTCCCTCCCTGTGTGGTGGTTGTGTGGGATCAGTGGGGGAGGGAGGGCACTACGCTCCCCCCTTGAGCTCCTGGAAGAAGGCAGGATGTGATTGTGCTAAACAGCGTAATGATCCTGGCCGGCTCTTCCAATTGCCTGCCTTTTGAGAGCCTGCCCCAGTCCGCCCCTTCGATTCACCCCGAAACCCCCCCTTTGCTCTTGGCAGAACCCACAGAACCCCGAATCCCATGGGAGGGAAGAGGCTCATTTCTTTCTGAAGCCCTGCAGGAAAATGTTCCAGGTTACAGCAAACGTCGGAATAGCTGGCGACCCCAAGGCCCACCTGGGCAGCTACTCCCAGTCCTATGGGACCATCTGCAAGTCTGCCCTTCAGAATCTGCCTCTCTCAGGCGCTTCTCGCCCAGCGCTCGCCCCCAGCCCCCAGGAGCTCTGAGCGCGGCCTCTGGTCGCCTGCAGCAGGGAGGCGGGCCGGCCTCCTCCTCCTCCTCCTCCTCCTCCTCCTCCTCCCTCGCTGGGGCAGGCAGAGTCCATCACTCGGTCACATCTGTCACGAGAGAAGGGAGCGCTGGGCAGTGTGAGCCTTTGCCTGGTCCCAGCCAAGTGGCGGGTTTTTTTTTAATGCCCAGGCTAGCCAACCTGTGTGTTGGGCGCTGTCACAATCAAATAAAGCCTCCCCTCCCTTTTATTCTGAGATAAAAGACTTTTCTACATGGAGTAAAGTCAGCAGTGCCTGTTCTTTATTCAGGGTAGGCTGGGTTTTGAGCCCCGGGCACTGGGTCGGTCTTGACCACGCGGCTGGTTCCCAGCGGTTGGAGTCCTTGCCCAGCTGTGGAGACCTCCGCTCTCTGCTTCCAAGGACCTTTTCTGAAGAGCTCTGCTCTCTTCTCCCTCCATTCCCATCTGATCCTGCAGGAGCCCCTCCGGGAGGCCCCTGGGAGGCTAGGAGGGGATCCCAAGGCAGGCGGGGGTGGGGCATTTACTCGGGGTGGGGGGGCTTTGTGCGCGCCCTTCCTTGATAATGCCACTGCTGCACCCTACTGGCACCTGCATGGGAATCGACACCAGGCATGGTGGAAAGAAGTGAGGCTGCACTTGTCCATTTGTCTGCCAGGAGGGTGCCTTTCCAGAACGGGACCCAATTTAATCCATGGACAGAAGTTTGGAAAATGGGCTGCAGAGAAAGTGGCACATCCCCCAAACCACGCGCGTGGGACTGCCGCTCCTCCTTCCTTCCTGGCCCTGCGTTCCCAGGGTCTGCAGACCAGCATCGGGGACTTTTCGTAAAAAGGTTGGGAAAGGGTTCAGAAGCTGAGCGATGGACGCTCCTTCCCCTACTTTGACCTAGAGACTCCTACAGCAGGACAGGGCCGTGTAGGCCCAAGCCTAACCCTGCCTTCTGTCTGGGAACGGGTGGAGGCCACCTAAACCCATCCAGCGTGGGGGAGGCTATCCTCTCTCTGGGTCATGGGCTCCGGTGCTCAGTTGCTGAAGTCACGTTTCCTCTTGGCTGTCTTGCTGTGGGTAAGTTGCCTTGGGGGCTCTTTTGGGGCCCAAAGACCACTCAGAAATCATGGCAGGATAGACCACTGCTGTCACCTCTGCAGCCAGTCAGAAACGGGGCCCTTTCAGCTGAGAGGCCAGAGTGCATTTCATTGGGGGCGGGGTTGGGGGGGGCTGCTGTGGTTTTGGCAAGGAGGAAAAGGGGTCCCAGGCGCTCCCGGTCTCAGGAGTCCATGAGGGAAGAGAAGTGGTGAGACCAACCTACCCCACCTTCCTACAAACTGGGCGTTGTTGGCCTAAAGAAGGGAAGGCCAGAGTTGTTCCTGAGGAGGGGGAGACTTAACCGAGGGAGATCCAAATTCAAAACGAGGGATTTCTGGCCCAGCCCCCTGAAGATCAGAGTGGGAAAAACTCACAGCCGACTTGCCCTGGTTGTCTCACGCCGGCTGACTCGCCGCAGGACAAACTCGCCATGGAACAATTCAATGCAGGATAATCAAGAGAGGAACAAGTGAATTGTGGACTCCATGCTCTGGCTCACCCCAACCTTGAGGACTTCTGACTTGAGAAGCAATAGCAATAGTACTTAGAGTTATATACCGCTTCATACTGCTTTACAGCCCTCTCTAAGCAGTTTACAGAGTCAGCATATTGCCCCTCCCCCAACAATCTGGCTCCTCATTTTATTGATCTCAGAAGGATGGAAGGCTGAGTCAACCTTGAGTCGGTCAGGATCGAGCCCCTGGCAATGCTGCCTTCTAACCCCTGCGTCGCCACCAGGGCCCATAGTGGTGAGAAGGTTCAAACCTAAAGCAAGACAAGGCCCGCTGCAATTAATGGTCCCTCTCTTGAGTTATCCAGCGTTGAATTGTGTCACGGTGAGTTGGCCAAGGCGAGTCGGCCACAGTGAGCTGTCCTAAGCCCTCTGGAGATGATGGAGGTGCTCTCATCATCTGTGTCTGAGAAAGGGCTCTTGGAAACTTGGTGGTGCATTTTTATAACATGCACTTGCCAAATGCAGGAAAGAGAAGCAATTTACTTTGGAGAAGCTGGATCTGGCAGAGGCTCTGGCATCTGATCGGCATCTTAAAACTTGGGTTTGTCTACCATCACATATTTATTTGTGACATCTTTCTTTCTCCAAAATGTAGTCCCAAATGATGGAAGTTTTAAAAATAAAATTTATTTTAACATTGGTTCCAGTGACCCCTTTCACTAGGCAATTTGTCAGGGAAACCTGCAACAAAACCACGGACCAATATAACCCCAGAACACTTAGAACCGAACAAACAGCCATAAAATACTATATTGCCGATACCTGCCACCCCCAAAGGTAAGAGTGGCCCTGCCCGTGGGTGTCATCAGCTCAGCCTCGCTAGCATGAACATCACGGGATTGTGCTGCTTTCTGTAGAAGAGAGCCACCTGGCTCCTCGCCTGGGGAAGGCACCTGCTGTGGCTGGCTGCAGGGTCCAGGAGAGAGAGAGAGAGCCCTGGGCAGTGGGGCCTTCAAGTGCTGAGCGTGGGAAAGGGAGGCGCGGCCATCCTTTCTGGCTGGCAGCTGCTTGAGAAGGGCCCGGATCCCTGCGCGCTCAGCAGGCTGGCCCCTGGAGAGAAAGGCGAGGCAAGCTTGCCCTTGGCTGGCGGAGTGCATCGAAAGCTGCTGCCGGGAGTGATGACCTGGCGAGACCCACGACGCTGCTGCAGCCAGGAGCGCCTGCGTGCGAGGTCTTGCCTGCACTGGTGTTCTTGGAAAAGGCGGTGCTGCTGCTCCCGCAAGTGTCTCAGGAAAGCCTTCAGCGTTTGGGCTTGCTTAATGAGGCCAAGAAGCTCGTTCTGCAGGCTCCAGTTGTCGGCTTTCACTTGCTTGGTGTGCTGGATGAGGCTGCGTACAGCCGCCTCCTCTGCCAGTTTGGCCAGAATTTGGACCTTCTGCTGAGCATTCATCTCGTAGTCGGCCGCCTGGTGAAGGAACCGGCTCTTGACTCTGTGCATCTGCTCCGCGTGCTGAATTTTGGTGATCAGCAGCTCCTTCTCCAGCTCCCGTATCTGGGTCAGATGTCGAAGCTGCAGATCCTGCCAGGGCTGCAGCTCAGCCACTTCCCGGTTCAGGAGGAAAAGCTTGTTTTCCAGCTCCATGAGCTGGCGCCTCACCTCCCTCTCTCTCTCGGCGCACTGAGCGGCCACCTCTGCTTTCTGCTTCTGGATCTGAGAGAGGTCAGACCGATTCTGGTCGTTCAGGGAAACGATGGCATTCTGACAACGGACGGTTCTCCGGGTTAAGTAAGAGAGGTAGACCTTGCTGGCTTCTCGGACCTGCTGGGCTTCCTTGTCCAAGTACTCGTTTTCCGACTGGAAGTGCCGCAGCCGCTGAGAGTAGGTGACGACGTGTTCGGAGAGGATGTCGAGTTCCTTCTGCAAGCGCTGCTCCTTCTCACTCGCAAAAGGTGCAGCGCCCGAAGGGCCCACAGCCCCGTCCTTGCCTTTGCTTTTCTTCCCTTTGGGCTTTTTCTTTGGGGCCATCTTGGTTAGGCCAAAGGGTGGAACTTCAGATGCTGTTGAAACAAAGAGCGAGAATGGCAAACCGTCACATCCGTGACCACATCTAGAGATTCGCAGTAACGATGTTTTCTGCCCCCCCAAAGTCTCCTTGGGGAGGGGGTTGAGTTGCATTATGTCTTGCCTCACCAAATTATGGATTCTGCCTTGCAGCAAAACAGACAAACTCACAAAAACTCCTCAACAACTTCTCTGAACCTGTTCTAATTTCTCTGAATCATTCTTAAAACATGGCATTCAGAACTGAACACAGTACTGAAGTTATTTAACTCGGAACAGAATAAATTGGAATAAGTTTTTTCTCCATGGAAAACTCCATGGTTTCTCCAGAGTCACACGGTTTGAGTGGGGTAGCATAATAAGTCTAATGAATGCATTTGTGTTTTACACTTCTGTTGGCGAGGCCTAAAGTTCCTTTTTCATTGTTTTGCAGCCACGTCTTACCGCTGGCTCATATTCAGTTCACAATTAACTACTATTCCAAGATGTTTTTCACAAGTGCCGAGTCAAATAACTCCCATCCTATACCCAAGCATTTGATTTCTTTTTCAAATGAAGAATTTTGCATTTATTCTGAAGCTTTCAGACGTGACTTTCTCCTGTAGTAATAGTTACTTCACCTAGGATTTTTGTCCTGTCAACAACACGTCAAGCAATTGCTGTAAGTTCAACAGCAACATGCTTCAGTGGTCACGGTTGAGCCAGATTTGTTTCAGGCCCACTTGTTGAGCAGCAGTGGCCCAGTGGTTAGAAGGCAGCATTGCAGGCTAACTCTGCTGGCTGCCAACAGCTCAGCAGTTCGAGTCTTATCGGCTCAAGGCTGACTCAGCCTTCCGTCCTTCCGAGGTCGGTAAAATGAGGACCCAGATTGTTGGGGGCAATAAGCTGACTCTGTAAACCCCTTAGAGAGGGCTGTAAAAGGCCCTGTGAAGCAGTATATAAGTCTAAGTGCTATTGCTATTGATAAATATTTGAAGATTTGTGAGCAAAGCCTCTTTCTGAGAAACAAAGTATTCTTTTAATAATAATGCCTCAAAAGTCATCGCGCATAAATCAATGATGAAAGTACCCCTCCATCAGTAGGTTTGATCCAAAGATAAGTAATAGAAGATGTGATAAGGAATCAGCATTCATTCTTCCAGAAATGTGCTGCATAACAAGATCATAAGGTTTCAATCTCCAACCGAGACAGTTGGAAGTGAGATGGCAAAATGTGCCTTTAGCTGAACGAAGCATGGACACGAGTGATTTGTGATCTCTGAGCAATACAAATGGATTAGAATGTTCTGTAGCCCACACATTTCCTATAATTTCAGAGGTTTTCCCAGAGAAGAATGTGAATGGTTGGCATTCACAACAGGCAATTTCGATCTACCTCAGTCTGCAACAAGTGGTATCCAGTCCCACAGGACTGGCATCAGTCGCCAAAAAGTTGGCACATAAGTCAGGCAGGGTTCCTTAGTTTACACAGCTTTCAGCTGCTGAAAGGCAGAGTCGGTTCCCTGCATACCAGAGCCAAGTGGCTCCTATTCTGATCAGCAGGCATAGTGGTTCCAAAATATCTGCATAATTAGCACTATATATTTCACAGGACAGCCACAGATAGCTAGATAAGAATGCAGCAAATCCAGCTTCTCGGGAGTGGGGCTTGCATAATAGTTTCTATCTCCTCCTGAACGGATTTAATTTCCTAGGCTGAGTCCTTAAAAGCCAATCTCTTCAAGATCCAAATGACATTTAACTTAAGCCTTCTTTTCTTTAGGTTAAAATCATTTTTCTACTATCACTCAAAAGCTACTCTCAGTCGATCCCAGAGCACAGTCGCTATGCATACAATTGCTAATACCCACACCAGATAACCCTGGAAAGATAGACAGGATGAAGTCTGTCGCCTTTTGGTGCATTCTGTGATTGAATAGACTTTTACAGAAACTGCAACAACCATGGTGCATCATATTGTTAAGATGTCAGCACCCACCCTCCTAGAGAAAGAAATATTTTTGGGAATATTAAAAAAGGCAAAATATTATATTTCCCCAAAGGAATAATGAAAAATCTTAGCAAAGACAACCCCAAGTTTGTCTCCCGCACAGTTGATGCTGCCGGGCGTGGGCAGAGGGCGTGGCCGTCATGGCGCTGCTGGGCTGCCTGGGCGATCTGCGGCGGGCCCTGGAGGCAGTGAGTGGCCCTGCGGGCAGGCTGGGTGGGGGAACGGGGCAGGGGGTGGAGCCAGTTTTTGGGCACTCAGTCTCTAAAAGGTTCGCCATCACTGTTCTATAGTATTGATTTCTTATGATTTTTTTTCACATTAGGTGGACATGACCATCTTGTACCTTAAATCTAACTTTTTGTATCCTGAGATACCTTTTTCTTCTGAGGTAGAACTGGGTGCTGATTTTTTTTTCTAGGATATTTCATTTTATACCCTTTTTATATAAAGAGCAATACTTGTCCTTGTCTTCTGCTCGGTGGTTTTTCCTATCCGATCTTTAAAGTTTCTATTCAGAAATGACTATATCCCACAAAATCTCGTTATATGTTTCCGCTAAATTGGCACCTGAATCTCACAATTTAGTAATTTACTTTGTGGAAAGAAAAATCTTCAGGTCCAGTTCCAAGCTGGGAATAAACAAAATGGAGGCTGTTTGGAAAGAAGGTTCTGTTTATTGAAGAACCGAACCAACAGCATGTGGTTCTTGGACAGCTGACCCAATGGGGTTGGGATAGGTCAGCTTTTATACATTCTTTGAGGTTTTGTGTTTGGAATGCTCCAGGAGGTTGTGTAATGAGGTGGGCTTTTGTGTTCTAAAAGAGTGTTGGGTAACTTCTATTGTGGCTGATGGCTATGTCCTGTGTTGGATTTTTTGGGGTGAGGGGTTGCTGGTTCTAATAATATCACTCTGCTATGGTTCGCCATCAAATCTTGCTCCAAGGGATTTTGAAAGATCCTGTCTTGAATGGGCTTGTGTCGGTAGTATTTGTTTGCCCATGAATGGGGCCTCAGTCTTTCTGAATACTCAACGAGTGGCCTTCAATGGCACTACATCCACATGGAGAGAAGTAAGCAGTGGGGTAGCACAAGGTTCCGTCTTAGGCCCAGTACTCTTCAATAACTTCATAAATTACTTAGATGAGGGAATAGAAGGGGAACTCATCAAATTTGCAGATGACACCAAATTGGCAGGAGTAGCCAACACCCCAGAAGACAAACTCAGGATCCAAAAAGATCTTGACAAACTTGAACAATGGGCCCTATCCAACAAAATGACTTTCAATGTGGAGAAAAGGAAAGGCTTACATTTAGGCAGGAAAAACCAAAGGCACAAATACAGATTGGGCGAGACCTGGCTTAAAAACAGTAACTATGAGAGGGACCTTGGAGTCCTAGTGGACGATCACTTGACTATGAGCCAGCAGTGTGCAGCAGCAGCCAAAAAAGCGAATACAATCTTTGATTGTATAAACAGGCATAGAATCACGATCATGCAAAGTATTATTACCATTTTATAAAACCATAGTAAAACCACACCTGGAATACTGCAGCCAATTATGGTCACTATATCACAAAAAAGATGTTGAGAGTTTGGAAAAAATTCAGAGAAGAACAACTAAGATGATCAAAGGCCTGAAGACTAAAACATACAAAGAATGACTGCAGGACTTGGGTTTGGCCAGTCTAAAGAAAAGAAGAAATAGAGGTGACATGATAGCAGTTTTCCAGTATCTGAGGGGCTGCCACAAGGAAGAGGGGGCCAGATTGTTCACCAGAGCACCAGAGAGAAGGACGAGAAACAATGATTGGAAATTGATCAAGGAGAGAAGCAACCTGGAATTAAGGAGAAAATTCCTGACAGTGAGGTCAATCAACCAGTGGAACACCTTGCCCCCAGAAATTGTGGGCGCTCCATCACTGGAGATTTTTAAGACAGTCACTTGTCTGAGATGGTATAGGTCAGTGATGGTGAACCTTTTAGAGACTGAGTGCCCAAAAACCACCCCTCCACCCAGCCCATCCGCCCGCTCTGCCACGTGCCCCTGCTCCACCCCTGCTCCATCCCCCACTTCGCCCCGCCCGCTCACAGGGCCCCCACTGCCTCCATGGCCCGCCGCAGATTGCCCAGGTGGCCCTGCAGCACCATGGCGGCCATGCCCTCCACCCATGCCCAGCAGCATTATCTACACATATTGGGGCGTGAAGGTGGAATCTTGTCCCTGCTGCCTGGCTGCCATGCCCTTGGCTGTGCTGTTCCGCACAGGCCGCACCCAGGGGCAACTCTCCGGGGGGGCTGCTGGCGAGGAGGGGGGTGGGGGGAGGCGGAGCTGTGGTAATGGCGTGTGTGCCCACAGAGAGGGCTCTGAGTGCCGTCTCTGGCACGCATGCCATAGGTTCGCCACCACTGCTATATAAAGATGGTGGGCTATAGGTTTCCGGAATGTTCTCTAACTTATCTTGTTATCCTCTACATATGAAGTATATTATAACTCAAAGCATTTAAGTGAGCCAGAGCAAGAGATAAAATCCACCATAAAAATAAATACAATGTCTTTACTTCAAAGGTACCCAGTATTTTGCAGCAAGAACCAGGAGTGAGCATGGTCAGTTTGATGCTTTCAATCCTGAGATCAGGTTGAGTTAAGTTATTCCTATTTTATTCTCAGTATCAATTATGATTATGATACTTTTATTTCTCATAGACTGGTATGGCAGAATAAATTTCTCGACTGTCAAATGCATAGGAAATGCCACTGCGAACTAAGCAGTTCATGAATTTGTCAGCTTTAAGCAAGCACTTTCCTTATACACCACATAGGAACTCAGTGGCTACATTGACATGGCATAACAGGTAGTTAGTTATTAATGGCATAACTGGAGTTATTAATGTGTAAACAAACCCATTAGGTCAGGCAGCTAATAGTACTTTCATCAATTTGTCAGTGAGTTTTCACTGAACAGTTCTTGAAAA